TCCTCCCCCTTCCCGGCCTTCTCCCCCTCCATCCCTTCCCGATATCCGCGATGCCGTCTGTCGCGCAATGGCAGCCATCGACGACGGCCGGCCAGCCACGCTAGGCGCGCTCGCTGCAAGACCCGCCTCCTCTCAGCCCATCAGTCGTTATCAGAGAAGGGGCCGTGACACTCACCAGAGTCCCTGAGAAGACGCTTGCCCGGTGGATCCTCCTGCGAACCGGACAGCGAGGGGAGAAGGGGGAGCGCGGCTAGCTACGTCGCGCGATCGCTGAGCGTCCTTATTCAGCTGACCCCGCGAGTACAGCGTCGTCGGTGGTGCGCGTCGTCGTCGGCGGCGTCTTCCCTTGCATGCGAGACGGCGTAGACATCCGGACGTTAGCAGAAGAGATCAGCCTACGCTCCTCATCGTCGGCTGAGCTGGCAGCCAGCCATCACCGGCACGGCGTCCTACGAGCCGAAATCTGCCTTTTTTGGTAAACGCAATGCCATGCGGATATCATGTGACTACCGTCACTGTTCGAGTCCAACCGTCACTGTTCGAGTCCAACCGTAACTTTGCGCAAGTTCCATAGCTCAAAAGTGCTGTTTCAAGGCAGGATTCACTCATATTTGAAGTCCAAAGCAAAGGCACATAACGGGTCTGCTTCCAACACATTGCAAGCCAAATTGGCGTGTCTTCGTGCACCCTCGTCAAGAAAATGTGCTGGCGTAGTATTGTGCCCCAGGTGTCGGCCGCAGCCCAGGGTGACCCAGCGCTCCTGAGCTGTAAGACTCTGAGCAGCTTCTCCCCCAATTTGACTGTGTATTACCGCGCATTTCTGCTGCAATTTGGCGAGTTTTGCGTGTCTCTTCTTGACACACCTTTTCTGTATCTATCTCGCATATCATGCTTTTCCGGCGACGCTCAAAAACAAGAGGTACATTCTCTAGTGCGAACCTTTGACATGAGAGCCTTGCACGGCTGTATTGAGACTGCTAATGCGTTGGCAGCACTCTGCGACGGTATATTACCTCAAGATAAACAGACAATACACGCAGAAATTGGCGTATGTTCGTCTAGCCGCGCGGCGCTAGAGATCTTACAGAACCTCAAGGCCAACAGAGCGTCGCAGACAAGAGCGGTAGGCGCAGAACGGAGTCCAGTTACGACGAATGCCGAGCGGTCGAGACCTGCAAAGCCCCGGACCTGTGAGTGCACGTCTGCGTCAAAAGCATTTTCGTATTGCGCCCCAAAACCGCACTACCATCAGTGAGGCCGGAAATGTGCCCCAGCTGGTGTCCATGCTTTGTATTAGGTTCTGAAAGAATACCGACATCACTGTTTCCGCCAAGTTCCTCCTCTCAACATAAGCAGCTCTGCGCGTAGCGCGAAAGTGAAAGCCCGATCTAGCGTGCGTCCTTCCTTATGAGCAGACATTCATCCCAGTGCACTACAGCCATGGTGTTTTATCAAAGGAAAAGAGATGCAAGGCTTTTCTCTTGACCGTTAACTCCAGCGCGAGGTCCTCAACTACTCAATTTCTTCAAAATACACTCACATGCATTATCGATGCCCAGCCCTACATTTCGAACGACGAAGGCAATCAACTTGTGGGACATGAGAGTAGCAGAAAATCGGTACACGACGGACAATCGGATACAAATATCGTACATGTCTTCATTGAACCCATCTCTCGCGAGCAGGCTACAGTTTGGCCGCCTCCGCAAGCTGCCTCTCTCTCCACCGAGGGGGAAGCTGCTTCTTGAACAAGCGATCTAGGCGCCGCATTTCAAGGGCGTGACCGATGGACACGGACGGTGCTGGACCAGCCACAAATACACGCGGAACGAGGTATGCATATGAGTGTTTTCGGCGAAGCCTGGGCCGGGGCACGTACTCGGTGTCCGAATCGTCGTCCTCTACGGATCCGCTGGGAGGCCACTTGAAGGGCGGCGGCGGCGGCACGACAACGCCATTAGCGAGGGCCCACGCTTCGACTTGGGCCTTGAGGTCGTAGCATTGAATCGGCTCGAATTTGAGGGATATCGGCGTCCGACATATACTACAGGTAGGCCCTCCCTTCGTTGCTTCGAACTGCGAGGTCAGGCAGCCTTGACAGAACACGTGGCCACAGCCGAGCCTAGATATTTTTCAGATGATGGCGAGGAACGGAATCTTGGAGACGTACATGCGAGGATAATAATTAGGCGACCTGCAGATGATGCAAGTAGTGGCAATGGCTTCACGGGCCTTGAGTTCATCTCGTTCCGAGGTGGTCTCCTGCATCACATCGATCAGTCGCGGAGAGGATGAAAGACGATGACACCTACGTCCAACTTCCTCCTAGTGTCCTCGATCGCTGCCTCCAGCAACGCAGTATAACTTTGATGATGCTGCAAACGATGTCAAGAATCACATTGGTGGCAGAGACAGCGATATAGGTACCTTCGAACCCACGCCCTCCGAACTGCCAGTGATAGACGAAGAGGGGGAGGGCTTGATGACGCGGGAGCGGCTTCGCGTCATCATGGTCAAGGGGGGTGGTTTGACCTTCGGTTGCTTCCGGACCATGGTGTGGCGACGAGCAGCGATAGCCATCCTGAGAAATAGGCAGACACAAAGACCGGCCGTCGAAATATATAGCTGACCTGAATATAGCAAGAGACCTGTCTGCAGACAGCGGCATCCATCCCAACGTAGGCTTTCGTGACATTGCAGTTATCGATGAAAGGCTCAAAGAGATTGGGGACCAGTGCGCCTTCTGGTTGTACATGAGGATGCGGATGGTGGCGCCGGCTAGGCGCGCATCCAGATAGGCGGCACATCAGCTCAAAGCAAGCACACCTCGTGGGCAGTCAAACAGCAGAAGAAGGAGGGCGCAGTGGGCCTGCGGTTTGCCTCGCAGTGATATTTGTGAATATAGTGCGGATGAGACACTACGTTGTCGCCAATTACGCTCGTGAACAACACATGGATGATCACGGCTTTGTATGGCGGAAATGCCGAAAGGGCAGTATGGGGTATCTTGAGGGGCGTGGAACGCGCCCTGTCGGGATCGATTGAGAACTACAAAGGCAAGAAGTCGTCGGCCTATACGTCATGACAGCGCGTGGAGGTCAGGCGCGCATGACAAGCGAGCTTCGGACAGACGTAGGTCTCGGGAGATCTCGGTCATAGGTCCTTGCGGCCTCAGTACCGCCCCCTCGTTGGCTGCACGTACCGGGCTTCTCTTGCTCAGCGCTCAGCGCCCAAAGCCGAAAGCGGTTGAGAAGATCCAGATGACAACGCTCCTACCTTGGTAGCCGCCGTCAGGTTCGCCCCAGTTCCGGGGTGGACTCCGCTGCGTAAACTGACTGACCCTTGCACAAAGGGCACTTCCAGCTGCAGCTGTCAGCTGCTGTTATCCGATATCACCATCATGCTTGACATGGGCGTCTGTGAATACATGAAGACACCATGCTGCTCGTACCATGCCAGGGATGTAGCGCGCAAGGATAACATAAAAGGCGCCGGCCCATGTCAATGGCCTACCATCAAACAACTCTCAGCCCTCTTATCCTTCTCGCTATGTCCTACACCTCGGTATCGAACAGCGTTGAGCATACGGGTGTCTTGCAGCCGGTTGCGGGCACCGGCCCCTTCACGGCTGATGCCAACTCCGTTGAAGCCGCGACGCCGCTGTCCGGCCGTGGGCGCACGGCAGCTTCTTTTTGGTTGGACTACGAGAGCCAGCCAGTGCCGTCGTCCAACCGCGACTCTTCGACACCTGTCCAGACGGCTGCCGATGTGCTGCCTATGATTGAGCCTGTCCTTGAGGTGACTCTGAACTTCGATATCTTGACCGCTGGTGACTTACATCAATGGCAGGACATGCGCGCCATGATCCGTCAGCTTGCAGCTGACACCGAGACGTCCTGCGAGAAGGTAAGCAAGACGGTTCGATGGCCTGCTCGACTCTTGACTGAGACGACTTTGTAGCGCTCCGCTCATTATGAAGGACTCACCAACGGGATCCTCGAGCAGGTCGATGAGCTGATGGCGCGCATAGTAGATCTTGAAATCCAGCAAGAGCAGCTTCGAGTTCGAGTTCATGAACTCGAGGCAGTCGCCAGGGCCCAGGTACGGAATCGCACTCTATCGACTGCATCATTGGCTGACTAGAAGCCGCAGAGCCCGCCCGCCGTTCCAGCCATCGCTGTCGGTGTGGCTCATGAGACTGTCGCAGTCGACGCTGATGAGCCTGTACAGGCAGGTGTAAGTCAGCCCGTGTTACTCTCTAGCATATACACGACTGATGTGATTGATAGGACCCTATGCCGAACGATAATCATCCGAGCGGCGTCCATGTCGATGGCGAATTGCTTGAAGAGGAGGAGGGGCCGGACGTTGCACGCCAGTACATGGAGAATGCAGAGCGGTGGAAGGAACGGGCGAAGGCTTCCGGTCCGTCGCATGCTGAGCGCGGACTCCGCTTCCAGTTCGGTGGGAGCTTCAACTTCAGCTTCTAGTAAACGCGCTTTGTTATTGTACCAGGCTACGCGGCCCTGGAATGCTCGTAGAATCCTTGTAGCAACGATATCTCTTTGAATGCTTGTCAACTCGCTGGAATTGCATCAACATTGACCTTGCGCAGTCAAAATATACTTGCCGAAGACCATCTGGGACCGGTACGAGGAGCGGTAGACCTTTAGCCGGACGAAGCGGTCCCTCGAGGGCACCGATGACTGCCATGTTCGATGAGAAAAGCGGAATGATGAGACATGGACGATGGTCATGGGGTACTCAGAATGGCGAAGCATGAGAGGTAGAGAAGGTGAATAGAATACTGCATAGTCAAGCGCAAGATTGGTGAACGCAGGGCATGAGGAAGTAAGGCCGAGCACTTCGATAGGTCGCGGTGCGCTGGTACCCTCAGTAGCGCTGAAGAGGACGAAGTGGCGCAAATTGAGTAAAAGCCGGGTATATGTGGACGAAACTACTCCTTGACCTCTTGAAGTGTTGTGGGATAGACACGTCTCAGAGTTAGAAAAAGTAAGCTGAACATTGTTCATCGTCAGGATCACATGACATTGATGCGTTTACCAAAAAAGGGCATATTTCGGCGACCCATGCCGGCGACGGCCGATGACGGCCTGCCGACTATGGGGAACGTCGGCTGCTCTCTTCTGCTACAGTCCGTCTCTACGCGCAACTTAGCGCCGTCTCGCATGTCAGAAGGACCCCGCTGGCGACGAGACGCGTCACCGATGAGGAATCAGCTGCAATAGAGACCCCCGCCCCGCGGCCGGCCGCGTTTTCCTTCCCTTTTGCTGTGCGGTTCTCATCCGCCGGAAAAGCGTTCTTACAGGTACTCTGGTGAGTGTACCAGCCCTCTCTCTGATGACTGGTGGGCTGAGAGGATTTGCGTGCCGCAGCCAGCGCGGCCGGTCGTCGTCGATGGCTGCCGTCGCTTGATAGACGGTATCGCGGATATCGGGAGGGGAAGAAGGAGAAGGGGAGAAGGGGAGGAGGAGGGGGAGGAGGGGCGAGGGCTCTGGTGCGTTGTCGACTGCGTGCGCAGAGCGTGATGCTGACAGTCCTGATTCTCAGTAGCCTGGTCGTCGGCGAGCGTCGGCTCGGCTCGGGATGACAGGAGTTCCCCTCCTTGGCTTGCTCGGGGGGAGGCGGCCCCCGCTCCCTCTCGTGAAGACCGTACATCTCAAACGTCCCCCTCTGCTCATCCTTAACGCCTCGACGGCGGGGTCAGGTGCGACCTGTAGCTAGTGAGCCGACGGGAGTGATCTGCGGCTTGCTATGATCACCCCGCGATCGAGTCCGCTACATGGTGTCTTGGCTTCGCATGGACATTGTGAGTACATCCATCTCCTCCTGAGTGATTTCTGGGCTCAGGGGACGCAGCTTCACAGTGAGCACGCCGAACGTATCTGCCGGTGATCAGCTCCATATTGCCCCCAATGGCTTCCGTCCCTTTTCAAAGAAGCGGTGTCGCAGATATCGGGAGGGGATGAAGGGGGATAGAGGGACATGGTGGCTCTGGTGCGCTCTAAGCTGCGTGCGCAGACCGCGGGACCGCTGATCCTGACTCTCAGTAGGTTCATCGGCGGTGGTCGTAGGCTCGGCGGGACTGCGGAAGTCCCTGTCCTTGAATCGTCGAAGGCAAAACGGCATCTGATAGCTCCCCTACGCGTACATCTCCGGCACTCCTCCTCGTCCACTGCTTATTGCGTCGCAGGCGGCAGCGGCGGAGGGTACAGCCTATCGCGACCGAGGCGGCGGGAGAGATACGCGGCTTGCTATGGCGACCCTGCATCCTACACGTTCTCGCAAGCATGTTGTGAGTCCATCTTCCCCCCTCCTTTGATGATGCAGGTTGAATTCGGCGTATGCAGCGAGTGCGCACGCTGGTAATTAACCCTACGTTGCCGTCGATGGATGCCATCCCTCGACAGGGGTGTCGCGCATGTAGGGAGGGGACGGAGGGGCATGGAAGCTATCTCACGTCTTCAATTCTGTAGACAAGATCTCATACCCCTCGACAATATCAGAATCAAGAAGCTTGCCTGCGTTATACAATTGTGTCCATTCTATTGAGCTTCGTCAAACGGGCACTGTTAGGACGCTCATTGAATTTGTGTCAGATGCTCTCGCAACGCCGACTCATGATGCGACCCCAGTCAACTACGACGAGGCGTAAATATATCGAGACGTACGCGCTCGGTGTTCCTACTCTGATGAGTGTACAGGTCCATTCAACGGAGTGTAACAACGGAAAACGAGACCTGTGAGCGGTTCATTTTGCCGAGCGCCTGTTCTTCACACACTATCGTGCAGCTCTGCTCGTGCACTGTCAGAATTCAGAACATAGCATTGAAGCCCGGACCCTTCAGGCAGCGCTACCGTAGTACAAGTAATCACTGACGAACACCCTTCGATGGCGGCTCGCGATTGCGCAGCGTTTCATACTCGTTTATTCTCTTTCTACTTCTCCTTTGTGTTACTTTGTGACCCATTCAGCAGACGGGAACATGACTTCGATAAATGCAGTAACTCTGTAAGGAGAGATTCCTGCATGGCGCTGCTGTCCTCAAGGTTGCATTCGGGTGCTTCTCCCTTCTGGTACAAGTTGATCAGACGTTACGATCGAATGAGTGTTGACTAACTTACCTCCACAGCAATGCGCAGACTTGCAATGGCAGCGGTCAAGGCTTTGTCCTCGTCAAGCATACAAGTCATGCGGGCATATAGCTTGTTATTGATGGCGTTTAGTTGCACGAGCTTGTCAGAAGTTTGCTTGTGCAGACCACGCATTCGCTAGGGTATCTTCAGCTACAAAAAGCAACGCCTGACCGAGCTTGCAGCACCTCTACTTCGATGCTGAGATCCTCGATCACCGCGCGCTGTGCATTGCAGAAGTCCAGGACTTGCGAAAGGTTGCGGGACGTGGATTCGTCCCCGGTGAAACACCCTTGTATGCCTTCATCTTGCTTCATGGACGTACAAAGGATCAATGTATCGAGATGCGACACCGTTACAGTCAAAGTCACCGATCACGTGGTATGAAATATAAATGCTCGGCGACGGAAATCCAAGTTTGATCCGTATCCACGGTCCTCGCTCCATCGAACAACGCGATTTTGCTAGTCTGGCTCTCGTCTTGCATCTTGAAGATTGAAAAAACAAGCCCTGCCATGAACAACGATATCGATAAAGATACGAAGATCCTTGGATACGACAGCATCCTAACCGGAAAGATGTAAGTCAGACTATCCAATATCATGAACCCCACTGGACAAGTACAGGGTCGTTCAACCCCCGCGCCAGCCTCATGTCATCTTTGACGGGAAAACCACCAAAGTCCAGCAGCCTATGGCATACAAATCTCTCCACCTGATGGAGCTGGCCGGTCATTTGGAGATGGAAAGCAAGAAGAATGTTGTTGACAAGGAAACCATAGCACACCCTGGCTAGTCTAAGGATTGATAAGGCTCTGTGCTCTGTGAACGCCTGCGTGCCAGAGATAATTTCAATGGAAATGAATGTGCACCACCCGCGCTAGCAACCATACACCGCAAGGACAGGTTCTATGCCCTGCCACTCGAGCAAGCGAGGCTCGGGCTCGCCAGAGAAGTATCGTTCGACGGGTGCGCAATCACAAGTCGCTGTACTTACATGCTGATAGTTGCTTCCTTGGCGATAGCTAAGAGCTTATGCAAGCGAGTGGGAGACGCCGGCGCGCTGAAACGATGGGACGCCTGAGAGTCGAATGCGCTGGCGACTTGGGTTTGGCGGCTCGATTGGGCATGTCGAGTGCACGGGGGCTTGGTCGCTCCAGTACACTGTTCCCACTCTTTGCTCCATATGAGTGTTGTGTAGCTTCGTCAGTACGTTCTCATTACATGTTCTATCCTCTTTCCCTCATCCCTTGATCTCCTATCGTTGGTCTTCGATCAACCTTCGGGCTTGAGGGTATCGTGAAGAAGCTTATTTCCCTTCTCAAACCCACGTACTATTCCTGGTCCCTGTCACTGAGACTTGCCCCTTTCGAGGACCACGCGCTGACCGTCTCGCCTTGTATGGGCACACCCAACGCCCGACATACATGCATACGTACCAGATCATGCTAAGAACTCATAGCTACATGTGCATTCACCACTTCGGACGGAGGTAAGCGATTGTGGTATCTGCCTATAAACCCATTCATCGAATCAATGCGTTTTTTGGCCCAATGTCCGCGATAGCAGTGAGAAAACACGCTGAGCACCCTGTTTATGGAGATCCATTCAATTCCAAAAGAAAAGGACGAACTAGCTGCAGCTCGCCATAAGGCAGGACATACAAGTTGAACAATGACTGTGACGGCAGTCACATGATATCCGCATGGCATTGCGTTTACCAAAAAAGGCAGATTTCGGCTCGTAGGACGCCGTGCCGATGATGGCTGGCTGCCAGCTCAGCCGACGACGAGGAGCAGAGGCTGCTCTCTTCTGCTGACGTCCGGATGTCTACGCGCGACTTGGCGCCGTCTCGCATGCAAGGAAGACGTCGCCGTTGACGACGCGCACCACCGACGATGCTGTACTCGCGGGGTCGGCTGGATAAGGACGCCCAGCGATCGCGCGACGTAGCTAGCCGCGCTCCCCCTTCTCCCCTCGCTGTCCGGTTCGCAGGAGGATCCACCGGGCAAGCGTCTTCTCAGGGACTCTGGTGAGTGTCACGGCCCCTTCTCTGATAACGACTGATGGGCTGAGAGGAGGCGGGTCTTGCAGCGAGCGCGCCTAGCGTGGCCGGCTGGCCGTCGTCGATGGCTGCCGTTGCGCGACAGACGGCATCGCGGATATCGGGAAGGGATGGAGGGGGAGAAGGCCGGGAAGGGGGAGGAGGGGGAGGAGGGGGAGGAGAGGGAGGAGGGGGAGGAGAGGGATTAGAGGGAGGAGAGGGAGGAGAGGGAGGAGAGGGAGGACGAGGGGGAGGGGGAGGAGGAAGGGGAGGAGGAGGGACGAGAGCTCTGGTGCGTTGTCGACTACGTGCACAGAGCGCGCTGCTGACGGTCCTGATTCTCAGTGGCCTGGTCGACGGCGGTCGTCGGCTCGGCAGGACTGTTGAAGTCCCCCTCCTCGGTTTGGTCGGGGGAAGGCGGCCCTCGCTCCCTCTCGTGAAGACCGTACATCTCGAACACCCTGCTCTACTCATGCTTGACGCTTCCGCTGCGGGGTCAAGTGCGACCTGTAGCTACTGAGCCGACGGAAGTGATCTACTGCTTGCTATGGTCACCCCGTGATCGAGCCCGCTACATGGTGTGTTTGCAGGGATATGGTGAGTACATCCATCTTCGCTTCGATGATCTCTAGGTTCAGGGAACGCGGCTTCTGCAGCGAGCGCAATCCGCCGGTGATCATCATCAGGTTGCCGTCGATGTTTGTGATGACTCGACAAGCGATGCCGTGAATTACAGCAAGGAATTGAGGGACACGGGAGCTGGGGTGTGTCTTCGACTGCGTGTTCAGAGCGTGGGATTAACAATCCGGGTTTTCAATAGCTTTATGGGTGCTGGTCATAGGCTCGTCGGGGCTGCAACAGTTCTCTGCCTTGGCTTGCCCGGTCGCAGTCCCTGCCTCTCCTCATACACATCTTGTATCTCGGTCATTGTATTCCGTCAATGCTCAGCGCGTAGTGGCTGTGGCGGCGGCGCGTGTCTGTAGAAATTGCGCTGACACGTACTCTGCAGTTTGTTGAGGGCATGGTCTGGCTCGATCTACCGCCAACTGGTTGCTCTAGCAGGTAACTACTCACTCGCTTCAATCGCTGCCGCAACTTATCTGCAATCATTACATGCTTCTTTTTTTCTACACGTTGATCCCGTCACTTCCTCAACCGCGACCAGAATCTATAACTGGTTCCCTGGTGTGTCTGTGCAACCGCAAGCCCGTCATTGCGCCCCGTTACATGCGTATCGAGGGCTAGCCGCTCATGTTCGTCCTTCACAACGCTTTTCGTGGTCCACTTCCCCTTCGCATTGCACAGAACAGGCTCATGGGCTTTCCCCGAACCTCTCGCCTCTGTGTAGGATGCACTGCTTTATGCGACGGTTCGCGGGTCTAGGGCGTATCTATGTTAATTATGTATGACGCGTTGGAACATTTCAACATGTGCCGCTGGAAGCCCGATGTAGAAAGAGTGATCGCTATGCTACTCGTCCTACTAGGCCATTTATACCATCGATCACTTGTTGAACATATGTAGCCCAATCAGTATCACCCGGGCCTCGACGTACCCTCCACCAAAGTAGGCAGACCAGGTGCAGATACCACCCACACATGCCTCTCCCTCGTTTAGATAAATTTGCCCTTGTGTCGATTTTCAGCACGGACCACCATCTCTTCCATTCCTCAACGAAGCGGGGAAGATCGGGAACCAACTGCGCGGCATGCTTAGCTGGCCTTTTGTTTTTTATCCAGTTGGTGAGAGCGTGAGGTCGATTGGCAGCAGTGAACCCTGTTTTCTGCGCATTCCAGTTCTGCAGATCCTGATAGTTGAACCACGTTGCGAGGGCTTGCGAATACAATGGATCCACATCCTTGTAGATGTAGTTCACCTGAGGAACTTGGGATGGGGGACAGCGTCCTGGAAAAGGAGGTAGAGGCGCAACTAGCACAACGTCCCGCGGGTGATACTGAGAGGATCATGAGTGGGCCCGCCTCATCGGAGAGAGACACTTACGTCAACGGTGGAAATCACAGACGATTCGTCAGAAGAGCCCTCGCCCTGCATTGTAATATCCTCTGCAGCGCCGATGGACGAATTCGACGCCTGCGCCTGCGATTCGTTAGGAGACACTGGAGCCATATAAGGTATTGACGTACGTCGACTGAACGATATTCCTCAAGCTGAATAATACCGTGTAAGTGATGACACGCATGTGAAAACTGCAAACCCTACCTCGTCTGGTGCGCTAGTCGTCTCGCTCCGCGATTGGGGCGTTTGCGCCTTCCCCCCCTCGTCGCGGCCGACGTCCACCGCGGCGCCTGTCACGCTTTGCTCTGTAGCTACCTGCATGTGCATCGCACTAGGACCTTCCTGATTGGCGCCGCCCGCTTCCTAGACAAGGTGCAATGAGCGCGCTCGATGCGAAGGAATGACCATCCTAACTTTGTCTGATGCCTGGTCCCACCGATCCAGTTCCCGAGCCTGGCTGCTCCCTTGATCATCAAGGTTCGCTTCCCCACTACGCGGGCCTTGCTAACAATACATATCAGTGGAATTGTACTAGATAGAAAGCGACGATCTTCACTTCTGCGATTGCTTGTCCTAGTGGCGCAGTGAAAGTGAAAACATACGACTTGAAGGATACACATGAGTGACAGGAGATGTCGTGTCTCAGCAGTTAACTCACCTCAAGAGGCCCCGCCTGTATCTGCTGATGCATGACTGTTAGCCCAGGTGAATTGAGACGCGGAATCTAACCTTTGTTTTGCAGGCATCGCGTAGTTTCAGTATCTCGAACTGAGCAGGATGAGTTGGTGCAGGCGCGGTTGGTATGGCCGTAGATGAGTCAGAAATGATATGACCGGCCTTTAGATTGGTCAGAGAGGTGCAAGGAATCAGAAAGACGCATCACAGTACCTCCAGTTCTTGGCGAAGGTCTGACAAAGCGTCGCGAAGCGCTAATCGCTCCTCGATGATTGCGCGTAATTGACTTTGTATAGTCCTGGTCGCCTGCTCCGCCTCTTCTACTTGCTTGCGTGCTTGGTTTTTGGCGACCTGCGTACCTCAAGTCCTCGACAATAAGTGGAGCTGAGGACCCTTACAAGGATAGCATCTCTCTCGTTCTCGAGGGCTTTAGTATGCAGTCTCAGAGAGACCAAAGTCAGTTCGGCGGCTTTGAGCTTTTCGTATGAAGTCCTTTGTTCTCCGTCAGAAGTCCCTAAACGACCAAAATCGATAGCCACAGGATCCTTGAGTCGAATGCTTCTCATTATGTACCGGGTTTCTGGGATGCTGGAAACTTACCATGGCCTTTGGATCATGCCGCCAAAGAGCGCAGCCAGTTCTTTTGAATATACTTGACTGTCACGACACAACCCTGAAAGAGAAGACGAAGCGCATGACCGGCAGATTCCGAACACCCATATGGATACTGTATCCGGACACACACATGCTACTATCACAAATTCACTGCACCACCGTACTGCTCTGAGCGACTCGCGTAGGATGCCAAACTGCTACCCGGAGGGCGATGACACGAGGAAGTAGCTTTTTCGGACAGAAGCGGTGGAAGAAGTATCTCCGCGGGCCCATGCAAGCTGCGTGACGCGTTTGCCAAAAAAGGCAAATTTCGGCTCGTCGGACGCCATGCTGATGATGGCTGGCCGACGACGAGGAGCAGAGGCTGCTCTCTTCTGCTGACGTCCGGATGTCTACGCGCGACTTGGCGCCGTCTCGCATGCAAGGAAGACGTCGCCGTTGACGACGCGCACCACCGACGATGCTGTACTCGCGGGGTCGGCTGGATAAGGACGCCCAGCGATCGCGCGACGTAGCTAGCCGCGCTCCCCCTTCTCCCCTCGCTGTCCGGTTCGCAGGAGGATCCGCCGAGAACGCGTCTTCCCAAATACTCTGGTGAGAGTATCAGCCTCCTCTTCGATGGCAAATGGGTTGAGAGGATGCGGATTCTGCAGCGAGCGTGCCCGCCGTTCATCAGCCCCCTGTTATCATCGATAACTGCCGTCGCTCGTTGAGTGGTGTCGCGGAAGGGGGAGGAGGAGGAGGAGGAGGAGGAGGAGAGGGAGGAGGAGGAGGAGGAGAGAGGGGTGCGTTTCCGAATGCATGCGCAGAGCGTGGGGCTGACGGACGACGATCCTGATTCTCAGTAGCCTGATCAACGGCGGTCGTTGGCCTCGGCGGGATTGCAGGAGCCCCTCTCCTTGGCTCATTCCGAGGTAGACGGCGCTGCGACGGTGGTCGTCTTCACTATGGTGTACGACCGGCGTAGCTTGCGCAATAAGACGTGCACCGACGCCATCGTCAAGCTGCTGAGTCTTGGGTTCAAGTATTGAGACCTCGGCACGATTTTGCCTATCGAAGTCTCACCCGTACCTAGGTGTGCCTGCCCTATTTGACGGCCTAAGCCGGGTAGCTTTGCAGCTCTCCTGCCCGATGAGCCCAGCGAGCGCATGGACTCGCTGGAGGGCGCGTTCTTCATGCAAATCATGATCCGTGACCACTGTTGCCGCGGGATGACGTGCGATCTGAAGTGCGTGCAAGAGGGTCCACAATTGAGGCTGACACTCCAATCATATTGCGAAGCCGCTTTGTGTATCTATGAAGCTGGCTCAGAGACCATGATCGTCACGTCATAGGTTGTGGTCTCAGGAAATCATCAGCATTGGCAGTGGGGGCTGCTTCTAACCTGAGGATGCGGCACATCTGCCACACGCCCGCACTGACTATTGGCGGATTGCTGGGGTAGTCCCAAGTTGTCGTATCCTGCTATATGGTGCTCTCCAGGCGCGACAGAGACCTCGTTTGCCTTCTTCTCCTGGCAAGTTTGCTCCAGCTATAGATCCCATCATCTTGCCGTCCATATAAGCAGAGGCATTCGTTCTCGTGGCTGCCTTCACATTACATTCTTCAGCTACTGTATGTCAAGCAATGCTTTATAGGGGATGCATCATCTGTCTTCATTTTACATATTCATTTACCTAGTCGGCGCGGCTCACCATCGCAGCGTGACTTAACGAAAGGTAGGATGGTAAAGGCCGTGGGGTGGAGGGGTAGGATATCAAGAAGGCTACCACTTTGCAGGGGTGTATACCAAGTGGAGGGCACTTTGTGTAACCAGGAAGGATGTTAGAACTGGAGACGGCGATCCTGAGTTAAACTTTCAAGGCTGGTGTTAGTCTGGAGAGCGGCCTGGGCCTTGCCCATGTTCGGCTCGTGTTCGTCATGTGCACGGCTCGTGCACGGCCCGTGCACGGCCCGTGCACGTTCTGTCACGGGCCGTTTTGTTTCGTAATGGAAATAAATTATCTATTTTCTCTGAAATACAACATTAATAATCAACCTTTTTCCCGCAAGAATAAAATATGTACGCTGAGTCTTACTTCGCAAGGGATACATGTTCTATCGGTGTCGCTATGTACGGACATATAAACTACTTCTTCTTCCTCGAATATGTATTATAAACGTGAGAGAATAAGATTCGTACGTATGCAGTGATAAATGATATTTTCACCTGGGAATTCAATACCTACCTGGGCTTATACGCCCAGACTTATTCTCACTGTGATAAGTGGGGCTGCCCGTGGTGCTACTCTGTTCGTCATGCACGTCTATTCTCGTGAGACTACAACACTAAGTGAACAGCGACACATGGAGTAGATTCAACACAACGAACACGGAGTCCCGTCTCCTTCCTGGGCCGCCACTACCTGCTACCAACGGAGTAACTCTGGAAGACTTGCGTCTCTCAAGAGGCTTCCCTCTCGCGCTTTTGCAGTCATCTGACCGAGCTGACTTCATGTCTAAGCTTCTATGATCTGCGCGAACTTGGACTTAGAATGGTGGCCCACTCTCTTCTGCGCAGGTTCCTGAGTCAACTGTGCTGCTTCTTGGTCAGAGACGCGCGTCATGCACCACGAGATTGTCCTTCTTGAGCAGCGGACGGCGAATTGACTCTCACATGGTCGACAATCACTCGTGTTCTGGGAAGAAAAATATACGGTGAACGCGCTGGCTTTCACCGGACTCTGACATCTGTTTTATGCTGGGCTAAAGCACATAATTTTTATCCTATATTCGCGTGACCACAAAATAGACTGCGAAAGAGGGCCGGTCCTCACTTCTAGGGATAATCCTCGAGGTCCCCTCGGGATCACATTATACAACCATACAATGCTGCCCGCATTTACACGCGCATTCGATATCCTCGTCAATTACCCTCCCCCGCCTTCGGTGCCTTGCTTCCTCCTTGTCTAGGCGTATAAATCCACTGCCAATGTCCCAGTCTCCTCGCCGCACGCCAAGTTCTCCCTTTTGCCGCAAGCCAGTTTCCCCGCAATGCGTCTCTCTAGCCTCATCGCCACTGCCTCGTTGGCTGCCTCGGCGCTAGCGCACTGTAGGCACTTTCCTTCAGTTCCAGAACTCGAGACTCATCTGATATCGCAGACACGCTGCCCACGCTCATCGTCAATGGCCAGCCGTCTGGCGAGTGGGTTAACATCCGCCGCACTAACAACTACAACACGCAGGCACCGGTCAGTGCCCATTCCTCCCCTCCCTTCTTCCTTCCCTCGCCCCTCCCTCTCCCTCTCCCTCCTCGTACCCCCATTGACAAACTATAACCTACCCACTAACCCCCACCCCAGGTCCAAGACGTCACCTCCCCAGACTTCACCTGCTACACCTCCGAGACGCACGCGACCGCGACGACCGCCGAGGTCGCCGCCGGCTCGTCCGTCAGCATCAAGGCGAACGGGCCCATGTACCACGCCGGCGTCGTCAACGTGTACATGGCGAGCGCGAACCCGGACGCGGCGTCGTACGACGGCTCCGGGCAGAAGTGGTTCAAGGTGTATGAGATCCCGCCGGTGACGAATGGGGGGAGCTCGATTTCGTTCCCGGGGTCGGGTGAGTGGGATGTGTTCATCAGAGTTGGAGAGAGGTTGCTGGTGGCGTCGGACGGAGTACTCGTGCGGTGAAGGAGGAGACGGCTGACGCGCACGCAGACATCGACACGATCACCTTCACGATCCCCAAGAGCCTGCCGAGCGGCGACTACCTCATTCGCGCTGAGCACATTGCTCTGCACAGCGCGTCGAGCTTTGGCGGTGGTACGTTGTCTCTCTGGCTCTCATGCTATCCTCTACCGCCAAGTTCTATACTCATATACCCATCTAGCCCAATTCTACCTGAGCTGCGCTCAAGTCAAGGTCACCGGCGGCGGAAACGGCTCTCCAGGCCCGCTCGTCTCCATCCCAGGCGTCTACACCGGCAACGAGCCAGGAATCCTCATCAACATCTACTACCGTGAGTGTAGTTGCTCTCTTCTGGTCGACGACTTTGCTGACCGTTCCCGCTAGCCGTCCCCGCCAATTACACCATGCCCGGGCCCGCTGTCTGGCACGGATAAGGGCTCGCTTGGGAGATTGGCGAAGTTCACCGGATATATGCTACTGTCTGCGGTTCGCACACGAAGAGGGAAAGTAGGATAACATTGTCTGCAGGGTATATAATGAATGGTATCTATATGGAATTCACGTCGTGCACTACGACTCGGAATAGGATGAGGTAAGGCTACAATGTCGTGCTGGCTGGTAATAACATGAGGCGGTGAGTAGGGATGTACGAGCGGGACTGTAGGCGATACATAGTCATCGTGTAAGAAACGGGAGCCGAAACCATCAAGGTCCTCCATAAGAGCGTCCCATCCGAGGCAAAGGCAATCACGGGAAAGTCAGGATGAATTCCTTCATCTCCTGCTCCCAGTTGCAGTCCGGAAGACCTTCCCCACCGCACTGCTTGAGCAGCATATCGCCCATCTGCCCAAGCGCCGCCTTTGCCGCATGCTTGACGTTGTCCTTCTTCGCATCCTGCGCGACCCGCTGCGCGATCGCATCGGTGTACTGCTGAGTCGCGTTGGTGATGAGCGCACGCGTCTGGTTGAACGCGATCTGGCGCAGCGCGGGGTAGAAGTGCACCATGGAGCCCGGCGTACCGCAGACGACCGGGCAGTCCGGGTTCGGGCAGCCGGGCGGGTCGACACCGTTCTGCTGGCACTTGCCGTGGAAGAAGGACGGGAAGATCGCGGTGCGCATGCCCTCGTAGGACGCATTCGTGTACGCGTGCACGAGAGGGGCGAGATACTCGAAGCCGTGGTGGGCGTCGCCCTGCTCGTAGACGAGCGAGGAAAGCTGCTGTGCCTAAGCGAGGTCAGCGAGGAAGGGCGAGGAGGTGGACAGAACGTACTGTCTCGCGCCAGACGGTGTGCAGCGGGAGGGTGTAGTTGGACAGCCACGCCTCAGTGATCTTGACGATGCACTCGCCTTCGCAGGCGGAGGCGAGCGCGGGCAGCGCGAGCGCGGCGACGAAGCGGGGCAGCGTGAACTTCATGGCGGGGAGCGGGGAGACGCGAAGGGCACGACGATGGTGGGGGGAGACAAGAAGAGACAAGAAGAAACTAGCTTTGTTTGGTGCACACCGGGAGAGACAATCAAACAGCCAAACAATGTCAAGGAAGCTGAAAGGTTGAGTGACGTTTAGGGAAATGACTTCCGCATCAGGAAGGCTTTGTTTGACAGGTCAGGAAAGCCTTGATTTGCTCCCGCCTCGTTCCCGATCTCAATCTCATCCCTGCAAATATTCAGCGTGATTGATGTTACATTAGAGTACATTCATTCGACGATCCAAGGGTATCATGCATTGTGACCTGCGTCTTGACACCGATACTCCCAATACCTGTAATTGGATTAGTACATTTAGCCCATGGAAGATGCTGGGCACGTACTTCCTCCTGATCGTATCGTGTTCCTCCGCTAGGCTCTTCCAGAGCTGGATCTATGGTCAGAGAACGCCTATTCTGCCGATTGAGAGACATACTTCGATAGCTTTGGGGACGCCCTCTGCACCCTCTGCCTCGTAGATGTCGGCCAGCAGTTCGATCGCCATAGGGCACGGCAGCTCCGCACTTGCGTCGGGTGGAGGGTTGTCTAAGTCAACAACGTCGCCACCTTCATCGCGCTTGCGGGTGTAGAGCTGGACAAAGGGCGTAACGGACGCGTACGGAATCTTGTTGAAGTCCAAGATGCCGCGCAGGTAGTTCCAAGCCGACAGGTTGTTCGGTATCAACGAAATATTCTGCTTGACGTACCTGCGGTGCCAGTCAGTTCAGCACATTCGAAGGTAAATGTATACCACGTGCGTGAGCTCCCGCTTCACCACCCGATCGCGGTCCTCCTCGCCATTGCGCACGCCGGACTGAAACACCACGAAGAATCGATGGTGCCACGCCGAGTTATTCCTTAGATCCACATTCAACAACTCCTGCACGAAGTCGAGCTCGCCTGCCCATAGCGCGTCCTCGTTGAAGTGCGCGAGTAGCCACTGGCGGTGGGACCACGTGTGATAGTTCTTCGAGTCGACGCGCAGGACCTTGCCAATGAGCTGCAGTTCGGGGGCTGGGTCGCGTGTCTTCATGAGGAGGAGCCGACGGTGGTGCCAGATCTGGTACGTCTTCATGTACTTGATCGCGAAGTCCTCCATGAGTTTGAGTTCTTGGTCGAGGGGTGCGTTCAGTGCAATGAGAGTCTCATATCGGTACTGCCTGACGGGACGGGGTCAGAGAGCAATGTAACTCGGACAACCGCGCCCACGCACCAAGCCGTGTAGTGCGCAGGGTTCTGTCGGATGATGTCCTCCGTCAGCTCGAGGACGCGCTCTGACTTCTCTCCTGTCTTGATCACTCCGCGCAAGTAGTTCGTCGCATCCTTATCTGCAAGGTATGTTGAGAGGGAACTCCTCGTGTAGTGCGCACAAAGGCCGCTAACATTCATCGGTGTAGAATATTGGTGCAAGGGGATTGACACCCTCGTACTGCTCCAGCGGCTGTACATCTGCCCAGTCCGGCCGTTGGGAGTATAGGAGCACGTCGTCGGTGTTGAGAGGCATGGCGTGAGCAGCAAGTGCGTGATGGTGGTTGATGAAGGGGAGGCGCACAAAGGGCGATGGCTATTGTTCCCTCGGCGGTTCGGCCCGGCGCACGTGGATTGTTTGCACGTGGAATATCCCACTCAGCAATCATCCGCCAAGGCTTTCTGCAACCCTCACCTTCCACTCATCGACTCGCTTCTTGGAATCCTATAACGATCACTGCTCTGACTGCTCCGAACCAGCAGATGTATTTAGTCTACAGCACACAGGCCGTAATCCCGATGCCAGTTACCCAAGGGGAGGCCTACTTGAGAGATGGCTAGGAAACTGTATGAGACGCGGCTGTTGCTATCTAGCGCCACACATGGACATCTCTTCGCCTTTCCCTTGTGCATATGCAGAATGTGACAAGAGGATGATGAGCACGCATAGCTCGTCCAACTATGGAATCTGACGCGTGACCCTCCGGACAGCACGGCATGAATGCACACCACTGGTCTGCATGGAAGGCCTTCTCTGTCATACGGAGGTCTCGCAATCCGAAAGGCCCGGCGCGGAGCACCCTCTACGAGTAGGGCGGACTCGCACGACGCCACCTTGCAGCCCTGGCGCATATGCGATACGCGTTCAAGACCCTCGTCTACTCCCCCTCCCGCGTCGCGTTTCGGCTACTTTGCAAACCAGGTATGCATGCTATATGCATCTGAACCCCGCGAATAGCCGCCCGACGGACCAACGGACACCACGGCGCTGTGGACGCAGCGATCTCAGGAGATAAGAAGACGACGATTGCGTTCTCGGCGTGCCGTCCTCGCAGTAGGCGTGCTTCTGCCGATGTTTTCATTAGGCTGCCGGATCGCTCGATATTGAACGACATGACTACTGGGGCCGCCTATGACACGGCGATATCGCACACGAGGCTGAACCTAGTGCGCGGTTACAGCTTCACCTGCGCATTGGCGCCACCGATGTAGGTGTGGTGTGTGGGCGCCTGATATAAGTGCATGAGATCGCGCGAGCGCTCCTTGGCTCCTGCCCTTCCCATCCCTCCGCCGCCGTCTGACCCGTTCCCCGGCGAAGATCAGCACTATGTCGAGCGCGCAAGAGTCGGGGCCGCTCATCGATAGCGACGTGAAGGCGCTCAACGATTGGGTTGTACAGCTTTCTGTCTTGTTCACGTTCTTCGGTATGTGGCCCTCGGTGCTTGACGTTTCCTCAGCTGATCTTTGGGCAGGCCTACACGCGTGCTTTTACTTCATCTCTGCCTACCTCCTCATGTACGCCTTGATTCTTTCTTACACCTTGCGGGCGGCTGACACCTTCACAGTAAGGATGGTGTGCGCGAATCGCGATCACGACTATTCCTCTTCGTCTGCTCGACAGCAATGTTTGGCACGTCGTTAGCAAGCGCAGCAATGAGCGCGGAAACCGCGAGGCTCCAGTTTTCTGGATTGGCGGCCAACCCGTCGGATACGACGACATTACAAGTGAACATCGGCATTGCCATCAATGTCCTGTTGAGAGTGAATGTGAGTTTACGCACCCTGTAGCATCTGGGACGACGCTGACCTCGACGCACAGTTCCTCATCAGTGACACCGTAGTCGTTTGGCGAGCATGGGTACTCTTTCCGGACAGCCGGAAAATCCGCTTTCTGCTCGCAGCATGTCTGTTTGGAACCTATGGTGAAGCACACCCTCCCAGTTGCCGCACTAGACGTACCTAACACTACCTTAGGCGCGACCATCTCAAACACGGTTGTTATAGTCCTGCGTCGTCTGGGCGAAATAGACCCGCCTTCAGACGCCTTCAGCCTGGTTCTGACCGTCCCGCTCCTCGTCACAAACCTCACCGCGACCGCGCTTATGACTTATAAGACCTGGTGCGTCTATCAAACCTGGTTTCCTCATTTGAGCACCCCCTAAGATCAGCCCTTAGGACCTACCGCGACTATGTGATCCGCAACTTCCGGCGGAAGCGCACGAAGTCGCGAGCGGAGATCACGTTGCTTATTCTGGTCGAGTCCGGGTTCGCCTATTGTGCCGTTTGGGTCAGTGCTTAGTGCGCTTTGTCGCGTTGGAGACCAAGGCTAACGATCGGGGTGCTGTAGGTCATTGTCATGGCCGCGAGCCTCGGCGCGTTCACTGGAACTCAGACGTCCATCCTTCTCGAGGCACTATGCAGTATTTGCGTACGTTTCAAGCTCAGTTATTTGCTCGCACGATACTGATCCGCCTGCGCAGGGCCTCTACCCAACCTTCATTATCATCATGGTGGGCTTGCAGCGCTCCTCCGTGGACAGCCTCCTCGGCGACTCCATGCGCTTCTCGTCAAGCACCATCCGTGCCGTCCCCACGTTCAAGGCGGACACAACCTGGACCCCCGCACGCCCGAGCTTTGCTACCATGCCGCGGGATTCGGTTGTTACGTATGCAAGCCCTGTTAAAGGCGTGCACATCGAGCAGACGCAGTATACGACCTCGAGCGAAGTATAATGCTGATGCTCTGAAGGTTTCGTCTATCGGCTCCTCGTTTGCTTTGTACGATCCGTGTAGTCTGTAATCATGTTTCCTTTCGATCTGTCTGTACCTGTACCATGTAACCTAGCACATCCTACCTCGTACTTAGCCCTTTTGTGTATTCCGTCATTTGCAATGATTCTGACCATTGCCTCGAGTTCCGGATATAGAAAAGAAAGCCTGCGTCGCTCTGCGGCGCACATCGATAGCATAACGCCCCAGATAGCAATAAGGTATGTAACTAAGGAGCAACGTAGAGTCGTGGGTGAATCTTCTAAAATCGTAAGTACGTAGGTGAGTGCTTCGTAGGAAAGCCTGTCCGAACCAAGAAACCCCCTTCAGAATCCAGTTGAAACCGCACAGCGGGTCCGCAACTAACAGTACAGCTTTCTTTGTCTTTCAAAACCGATTAACCTAGTAAGAGCACGATAGCAGCGTCGCGAGGGATGCTCGCAACCCGTCGGTTAGCTCAACCTGCGATCCTGCTCTTGCTTGGTCACCACTGGATCCGGCGGCGTCAAGCCACCCAGAAACGGATGATCACTGAACGTCACGGTCCGCCCTTGCGGCGGATGGTCCGTTTCCGCATCCACGAACGACTCGTAGTCCTGGCTGACTGGACTGTCCGTTCGCGACATTGTGATCTCTGGATAGGGCGATATCGACCGCGAGCGCTGCCTGGACACGCTAGGGACGAGCACGTCGCGCGGGCTGTCGACGGACGGGAGCGTGACGACGAGGTTGTTCGGGTTGGGCTTAGTCCAGATGCGCACGGCGCCGTCGTGGCTACCGACGGCGAACATGAAGGGATCGTCGACGGCGTAGTTCCAGCCGAGGGTGGTGAGGTCGCCGCCAATCTCGTCGCCGCGGACGTGATGCAACAATGCACCGGATTCCGCATCCCAGATGTTGATCTCGCCGGCTGGGGAATGGTAAGTAACGCAGAGATGACAACGCTTGAGCATGCGTACATTTGCCTGCGCAGAGCACCAGTTCGTCGTTCTTCCCACCGAAGTAGCTCTGACCCGCGAAGTCTGTAGAAGAGTCCTTCGGCATGTACGTGTGACTGGAATCCATCAGAGGATTGGCCAGACGATGCGGAAACAAAGCTTACACTAAGCTGAGTCGGCCAATCATTGCTTGCTGAGTCGGGTCCTTCATGTCCTTGACGAGATCCATCTTCCAGCGTTGCGGCGGTGCCTACGAAATCTTCAGTATCGGTTCAAAGTGACACGCGAAGCCATCTACCTTGTTCTCGTAGCTAACTAAAGCCGTTAAGCTATGCTTCGCATTTCTGGAGATCGTGATATCGCGGACGTCGTTCAGCACCGGTGTCTGGCTGCAAGAAAGTCAGTGGGATGAAAGACAATCTCAAAAGAGGGAACGCACTTCTCGACCTTGTTCGTTTCCATGTTGTATACTGTGACGATGATGAGCCAGGATATATAGCTGGTCTGGCCAAACTTACCTATTAGCCGCTTTTCTGCACGGGACTTCTTTGGAATAAGCCCGTCTTGTGAAGATAATAGCGGGCCGACACCGATGAAGCGCACGGCGTCGGGGGTGACCGCGACGTCGTGCAGTTTCACGCGTTCGAGATGGAATTGATCCAAGATCTAAGAACGAGAAAATTAGCTTTCAAACGTCACCGACAGTGTTCGTCTCCTCACCCTGCCCTTGATATTCTGAAAAAATAAATTAGCGTTAGCCCGGCATGCGTAAATTGGTCAGTTAACTCACCAGTTTCGTCACCACCGTGCCGACCATGCCATCGGTCAAGTCAGTTTCCACAGACAAGAATGCATTGCCATCCGGGAACCAAGTGATCGACTCCACATTCCTGCCGCGGTCGATAGTTCGCATGCACACGCCGTTCTAGGATTGCCGTAGGAAGGTCGTTAGCGATCGCTCGCCAATGGTGACTGGAAGAGAGGCGCTACAATAAGCGCGAAGATGCGCGTATCTCAACCCACCTCCGCCATCCATACTTTCATGCCGCGGCTGAACTTGGTGAGGAGCAGGTTGCCCTTGGGTGACCTGGGGCACGAAATACGAAGGTCAGGCGTGGAGGAAAGGACTTGGATAGATGAACGACGTACCAAGCGACCTGTCCTACGAAGCCTTGGGTGTGGGCAAGCGTACGATGCGGCACAAGCGGATCCTTCGAACATCATTGTATACAAAACAATAGGCGAAAATGGAGGTTTACTTACACCAACTTTGAACACGATAGATGTGCGATCCCAGCTGCATTCTCGTGAGCGTCAAGGTATGAGTCCTCAGGATCGACTCACCTGCTGGTAGCGAGGTACTTTCCATCCGGAGAGAACTGTAAGTGCCGTACGAGTGCGCTGTGTGCCGCAATCTCCTGCGTTGGCTCCAGCTCCCTCAGTTTCTGCACCAGAACTGTGACCCTGCTCTTGCTCGGCGGAACCTTGATCGGTTCCGACATTCCCGGTGTACTCGACGACGTCCGCTGCCGCTGGGGCGAGCGCGGCGAGGACACCGCGGTCGGCGACGCCGCACCAGCATTCGCAAGGCGGATCGTCCGCAGTGCATTCCGCCAGAGCTGCCGACCCTTACTCGGTTGCAGCGGAAGCTCGTCGATCCCGGCCGCCTGCATCGCCGCGCCAACGACGCCAACCACCGAGCCATTGCTGCGCAGCAGCGGCGTGGGCGAGCTCGGTGGCGTGAACGGACTCGTCGATCGGCGGTCCAAAACGGGCGATGGGCTGCCGGTGACGTCCGAGGGGCGTGCCGGGCGCATCGTGCTCCCCTCCGTGCTCTCCTTGCGGTGCGTGGGCAGCGTGGCGGACTCGAGGTCGTCGCTGCGGTCGGACTCGCTCAGAGACAGCATGCTGATTGTCTTGGCGCTGAGGAGGTAGAGTGTCCGCGAGGCCTTCGTGATGGGCCGCGTGGTCGTGTGGAAGGCCTTGCGGGTCGCGCGGATGGCGGGCAGGTTGAGGAATTTCACGTTGTTCTCGCGGAGGACGTCGCTGAGCCATTTGCGGCCACGATGGCGAAGGAAGATGTAGCGTTCCGTTGCGAACCAGGCGGAGACGGCTGCAAGACCGAAGTTGGTAATGACAGTTAGAATAGTGGTTAGTACCGAGGTGACATTATTCTAGGGAAAGGTTAGGGAGGAAAAGATGCGTAGGGTGGCAGCGTACCTGCAGCGATGCGTACGAGAAACAACAGAGCCCAATCGAGAAGCACGCCACGGACATGACCAGGAAGACGAGTGGCGAGCGCTTGATCCAGATCGAGACCCACCTAGTAAGCGTGAGCGCTGCAGGAGGGCTGATCAGAGAGCCACATACCAAGGAACCTTGTGACCCGGACTACGGTACATGGCTTGCTTCCAAGTCAGACCCAGCAGCGAGTTGACCGCTGCAGCAATGCTGAACACCAAGGATCCAAACCAGAAGCAATTGACGGCGACAGAAACAGCGTTGTCCGACGGCAACTCATATGAGAACTGCATCGTTGTCGCGGTGACCGCTGAGAAAAAGGTGGCCACGGTAGACAAGTTGAGGAGATTGTTTGCACCGTGCTTCTGTGCGAAGCGGATGGTTGGGACGCCGACTTCGATGAACATGCATAAAGTAGATGTGATGTTGTCCAAGTGAGAGCCCATTTCCGAGCAGAGATCGTGCACGTAGCGTTGGACCGCGGGATATCGAAATTGGCCTTCGTATTCGCGCAGGCAGGATGCCCAATACTAGTGTGGAGTCAGATAGGCACATAACACAGAAAGGAAGGAAGGGAGGAAAGTAGAGATCCAGGCGAGGTCCGCCTCAAAATTCGACACTGCCAGAACCGAGGGAGACAGTAAATCCCTGCTGCGAAGGAACGGCACGGGAAAGAAGGGAGGGAAGAAGGTTATTCGGGCAGTGTCATTGGATGCGCACCTTAAGATCGCCCTCGAATGCCTCCACGCTCGCATTCACTGCGTCGTCCATGAATTCGGGGAATTCGTTCAACGATTGCACGAACTTCTTCACATCTACCGCCAGCGCTTCAAACTGTTCAGGGAAGTGTTCAAGATCGAGGTCTTCCTTGACGGCTGGGCGAGCGACATGTGGGTTGATCTTGCTTTGCGCATCGCGCACACGACGCTTGCGCCGGTTTGGGACGGACTCCGCGGGGGCCGGAGGCGGCTTCCTGTGCTGGATCTTGCGGGGGAAGAGGTCGGACGCGTTCTCGTGGAAGAGGACGAGGATCTGGGCGAGGCGCTCGCGCAGGTAGAAAGCGGAGGAGAGGATAGCGACGGAGGATCCGAGCTGGCGGGAGGCGTGGGCGAAGTTGCGCAGCTGCGGGGGACGGTTATTACGCTCGCGGGTGTGCTGGGTGTAGCGCGCACCTCTTTGTCCAATGCGTTGACGCGCCTGCGGGCTGTGAGATGAAGGGGGGACGAGGGGGGCGAGGGGGACGCACTTTTCGAACGCACGGAACTCCTCGGCGCCGCGGACCTGGAGGTGCTCGTCGACGGTGGCTGGGGGAATGTGAGCCGCGGTGTGCGCGTTCGCTACGTCCCCACTCACGGACGTCGTGATCATCCTCAAAGACGTGCTCTCCTTGGGCTATGGTGCTAGTCAGATGTATGTTTCGCGGAGAGTTGCGCGCCACGCACCACTGTCAGAATTGGCTCCGTCCTGCAGTAGCGCTTCGACGAGACTGAGGATAGTATCCTTCCGTGTCTTCTTTGTTGTCGGTTTCCTCGTCGGCGTCGCTGCCCCAGAACCCTCCGTGAGGTCCGCTATTCCAGTCGGCATCGGGGATCTGTCTCCGCCGTCAGTGTCGGACCTCACTATCGCGAAGCCGCTGCGAGCTCACCGAACGTGGGGACTCGTGTACTGGACGCGTTAAGGTCGTCGTCGTCGTCAGTAGTCTTGTCGGTTCGTAAGAAGCGTGAGGGGAGATCGTCTGAGCAAGGGATGCGCGGACAAGTAGCACGCACGTCCCGCAGAAGCGCTCGTGCGCCGTGATTGATGGACAATCAAACACGCGGCGCGCAGCGGGAACACGGCGCATGCGGGGTCGCGTGTTTGTCCTCGACTTTTGCCTTGCTCTGTACCATGAAGAGGCAGACAACATGGTTTGCGCGAACGAGGCAATGGGGGAGCCAAGCTTGTCACTTCTCATCAGGCCGGTGACAGCCTCGGCACCCTCAAATTACGAGCATGAGAGCGGTTTACATCACTTCATCTTGCTAGCCTTCATCATTTCGCCTCAAAGTAGATATGGCTTACATGCGGGAGCGAAGCTGGGCAGGAGTTCAGAGTCCGATATCATCTTACTCGCAAGGTCTCTCGCTAACTTTGTGAAAGCCGGATCTTCAACAGGTACGGTTATCACAGAGTAAGTAGCTCTCAGGATATGACCGGGCTTACAGAGAATGAGCCGCTAGCACGATAGAGATGCGGCGTATGCGAGACGTCCGATTTAAACGGTGGATACTGAAAGAACGTGGTCACCGAAGAAAGTGGTCACGTGCATGTTGAACTTATCACGTGCGTATATGTCGTTGTTCCGCCGGCGAATTTCGAAAGGCTGCGCGACACGCGCACTCGGCTACAAACGGTCATCATGGTGTGCTGCTGTGCCCTCTGAGCCGTATCTCAAAGAACTTACTCCAAGACTTCAGTCAATCCGTCTCACCAAGTTCCAGGAAGACATCGGAGCCCTTCTCCAAGAATGTGCGGCAGCAAACGACAAACCGACTTCTCCGCTCATCATGCCCGTTTCGCTTCTCCAACATCCCCTCTTCAAGGAGCTTTTCGCCCGTCTCGACCCGTCTCGCATTCCCAAGCATCCCCTTGATTACCGTGGGGCCCGCGCCATCACGGAGGCCCTCGAGGCCCTCTGGATGTACGCCCACATCAGCGAAGCGGCGCCCCAGAGCGGCGATGCATTCCTACGCGCGTATCTCAAGCATCTGCCGAGCGTCTGGCAGTGGGGCCTCTGGCTTCTTCCAGAAGAGGGAAACGTGAAAGACAGTTCTAGCAAGAACTTGGAGTGCCTGGACTTCCCTCTGCGTCCGGATGGGACAGTCGTCATTGGCGTCTACCTGCGCTACTTGGTTCTGCAGCTTATCATCGCGGCATTTGTTGATACGCCTCCTGGAAGGAAAATCCTCCTCGCGCAGCCACGATTCTATGAAGTCCTATTGAAGGTTCTTTCGTATGACTGGACGCGTCCGAAGAAGTTCAACGACGCACGGCAGCCCCATGCGTTATTGCGGGTCATTTTCGACGGGTTGACGGATAAGAACGATCCCAAGCTCGTCCAGCGCACCCTCGACGAGGTCACCGCCTTCGAAAAGCAGAATCCAGGCCGAATCTTCGAGATCATCGTCGAGCGCCTTCCCTGGCTACTGGACGCGGAGGAGAAAGACAGCTTCCAGTTCATCATGGGCTACCTCGGCACGCTCTCCCACCTCCTCATCCTATCACACCACCTCTTCAGAGAAAACATCCGGCGCGCGAATGGAGGTCCTGCTATCGTGGAGCTTCTCCTGCGCACGGTCCCCGATTTCGGCCTCCCGCGGACGCGGACGGACGAGCAGATGACTATGCCGATACTCATGCAGCTTATGGAGACGCTCCTAACGTCGCGCTGGTCTGACCGCGAGCTGGTGGACGTGATCAACGCGGGGCTCCTGCGGCTCATCGACAGGCTCAACCGGTTCCTCCCTTCGGACGCCAAAGGGAGGGAAAGGCGAAGAATGGTCAACGTATGGATCAAGGACGTGTTCATGCCGTCCATGGTGTGGCCGAAAATGCTTCGAACGTTTTACAAGGAGGCCTCCGAGCACAACCTGTTGACGAAGATGGTGTTTCCTCAATGGGATGAGTGGCGTGCGCTGCTGGACAGGTGCACTGTGCTCTGGAAGCGGTACACGAAATTCCTGGATCGTATGCAGTCGCTGCGCATGTTCTGCCACAACTCTAGCGTGCGTGTTCGGGTCTACGTCGTCGAGTTGTGGTGCTAATGATGTCCAAGTGCCCGCAGAAATCAGAGGCAACGAAGAAGAAAATTTGTGAATGCGCCAGGGTCGCGTACTGCTCCCGAGAATGCCAGAAGATACATTGGAAGAAAGCGCATCGCAAGGAGTGCTCAAGAAACGCTCGATATCCCATCTGTAAGTCTACGTAACCTACAATCGCGGACCACCAGCTCACAACCCGCAGTCTACATGCCCGCATTCGAGCCTGAAAACCCGCCTCCGAACCCGAAGCTCAGTCATGTCCACCGTCATTGGCTCCGCACCTGCGCCCTTCACGACCTAGCGTCAGAGAACGCGCAGTGGATGGCAGTGCGTACTGTCCTGATCGATTACGCCGGCATATCACAGGAGGACGTGGTCACCCGCGGCTTCTCCCCGGCGGGCGTTGAGCCTCACCCGGACTCTCCAGAGATGATAGGTGTCAAGCCTGTGCCGCGCGGGATGACGCGCGTGCTGGTGAGGGTTAATTGGGGTGCGAGGATAGGGGCGGATATCTGCGTGGAGTTGGCCATTGCTGTGGCGACGGTGAAGGCCATGGACGAGGGGGCTGGGAGGAGGCCTGGAATATTCAGTCGACCATTGTAGAGACTGATGATGAGCGCGGATCTTCCGAAAAAATTAAAAGTATACAAGATGTGTATGTCTGGGTCTGTACGTAGTTCCATTCCCGTCACAGACCTTTCATGTCGAGTGTTGTCCAGAGTCCAGATATCAACTTGGGCGATCGTGACTGTGACGTGTGTGTGACTACGGTATCTCAATTGCTCCCGCTCGCCGGGTTCTCATTCATCACTTCGCGGTCATCGCTTTCAGCGTCTTCTGCGTTGTGCTCACCATCCATGGCAACCCTGACCCGACCAAAGGTGCAAGAGCAAGAGCAACCGCAAGATGATATAGCTGCAGGGGTCCCCACTCCCTTTCCCGAACAATTCCTAACGGTGCCAAGGGAGATCGACACGACGCAGCAGGCGACGAGCAGGTCACTGCCGCAGGATGAGGCATCGGGCGCTCAAGCGTCATCGTCGAGGACAGGACTGGTGCGGGACCCTGCTTTGGCTGCTCCGAATCACAGCTTGACGCGGTCCAGCACGAAGTATTGCCTTCAATCTCCTACGTGCAGAAGTCCTGTCTGACGACGCTGAACAACCTCCTCGCCGTCCCAGCCGACAAGTGGGCGCCCATAGTACCAGATCGGCGCCATTCCATGCCCCCCACGCCCAACACCGCGTCCATGGCCGAGAAGCAGGCGGCAAACCCGGATACGTACTCCTCGGCTCTGCACACCCTCGTGTCGAATCTGCGCAGCCGCGAAGAGGGACTCGGCGCAGGGTCTGCGATGACGGAGATCAAGCGAGGGACGACGGACTCGGAACTCATCCGTGAGCTCGAGAGTCGCGTCGGTGAGCTCGCGCCGGCGCTTGACGCGCGCGACTTCCATCTCGCGTCCATCCTCGTCTCCCTCCTTGCGCACTTTGAACGGCTTTGCGGAATATCCGATTCGTCCCCATCCAGTCTCGTCCCCTCTGCCCCCTCCTCTCGCCCTGGCACCTCGGATAGCAAGCCGCGGAGCCCGCTTGAATCCTCGGTTGACCTCACCGATCCCTTCTCCAATCTGCGTCGGCAATTGAGCGACTTCCAAGTGGAGCGGCAAACATCCGGGACTCCGACTTCAGCGCCCGGCTCTCCTCCCGTGGTAGCTGTCGAGGCTGCGCTGCTGTGGACGCGGATTGACGAAGAACTCGACACCGTCGTTCGCCTGTGCAAGGAGCGAACACTCGCGCCTGCATACCACCTTCCGCCAGAATATGACGCGCCCGCGTACGAGACGGAGCATCCGCCTGAGTACGACGAAGGGCATGCACCAGCGCCTGATGACAAAATGAAGGCTGCAACAAGTGCAACAACTGCGCCGCCCCTCAACGAGAAGACGCGTATGGACCTGGAAGCAATCACCCTGGCGATTGATCGGCTTTACCTGGTCGCACCCCAGCTACATAACCAGCGCGTCGAGCTGCGATCTTCCAAAGTGCAACAACTCGAGCGTGCCCGCATGGCTGGGTCTTCATCCTCGACGTCCTCTAAAAAGGGCAAGCAGAAGGAGAAGGAATCTGACATACGGGAGCTTGAGAACATCCTCGAGCTCTTGGGGAAAGCAACGGAACGCTCGCTGAAGGACCAGTCCTATGTCCTCGAGGGTGGCATGCAGTCACGGCTGGAGCGCGCAAAGCAGCGCGACGATGCCAAACGTACCGCCTTCGTCGAACAGCTCGCGCAACACTCGGATGCGCGACGATTCCACGGACAAGACGCAGCATTCCAACCACCCCGGGAACGCGCACCAGAACAGTTGCTATCGCTGCCAGAGTTCATGCGCGAGCCCATCCCCGCGGAGCTCATACGACGCGACCCGAACGCGCTTCTGTCGCTACCCGAGTTCGTCCGCGAATCTATGATTTCGAATACTGACGACACGCCGTCCTCGCCTCCGCCACCACCTTCCTCGTCCATGCAACGACTGCGACATTCGAAGTCCTTGCAACGAATGCGGAGCCGAAGCATGTCTGTACCCTCGTTTCCCTGGCTTAAGTCAAGTTCGCGTTCTCGATCTGGGTCCGTGACTCGAGATCAGGCTGCTGCGAAGGAAGTGGATACTTCTCGAAGTGAGTGCTTTAGTCTGGGCACAAACGTCATCTAATGGTTCATCCAGCTGCAGCCTTCGAAGTGACATACGTCGCCGAGCACCACGATTCCCTTCAGAATGTCCTTGCCTTCTTCACGGTCACTGGCGCACCTTCAGGCGCCGATATCGAGGCAGAGGTCTTCCCGGTGTCGTCGAATAATGCAGCAGAAGGTGGCGATCGTCTCGTCATCAAATGCGCATCGAACGCTTCGGTACCGCTCAGTCTTCCTGCTCGCGTCGCACCTGGGAAGAAGCCCGTCACGACGACGGCTACGCATTACGAGATGAAGATCCCTACGCTTGCAGGACCACCAGCACCGGATGCACCCTCGCCTTACGAACCCGTCCCCTTACTAGACGCCACGCAACTTCAAACTGGCTCACCGACGAGCTTCCTGTGCGCATCATGCTCGTTGCCGCTGGTGCAAGGAGGAAGGCTGCGCGAGTACTCGGATCTGCCGAGCGAGTACTGGGAGGAACTTGTGGAGGCCTGGATGTGCCATGCTGACCAGAAGCTGAACGAGCGGGTCATGAGTGCCGGGCGGGGGTTGTGGCCGGCAGCGGGGCAGGCGCTCGTCGGCGGCAGTTATGTGTTATTCGACCAGACATCTGTCTCTAGTCACAATCTGCGTGTGGCGGAGCAGGCAAGGGTGCGTTTTCCTTTCCCTTTTGTTCGCAACCCCTTCTTGTGTCTCCCCCTTTACACACATCTCCTCCCGTCCTTAGACGGGAAGAGATGGACGACTAAGAAGACCGATGTTGGCTTTTCTACCAACGGGTTGTGAGCTGGCGGACTAACCAGACGGCTTGAGCCGTTCGAGGTTTCGTCCGCTGTGCTCCGCCCCTCGATCGGTTGATACAAAGCGTCCGAGAGCAAGCCTAGACGTCCCTGGTTGACACCTCTCCTGTTTGGAGGTCCACGTCTGGAGGGCTACTACCGGAGGGCACACCTATGCATCTCTTATCTAGATTTCTTCGATCTCTTCATCGCTGCGGTACACCGTCGCTCAAAAGACTGACGGCACATTGCAGCGCGGCGAAGAGTGGCGGCATGTTCGATGCCTCTGTGGCTCGTATATTGGGCGTTGCCGGGATCACCAGCCGGACAGCGGCGAGCGTACAATGACCTATAGGTTGCTGAAGTACGCCATGCGGCCAATAGGCCCGTCAGTTGAGTAAGTAAATCATCTACTCTTTGCGCGAAAGCTGGCTTATCGCCGTCCCAGGCCCATAAGGATACCGCTATCCGCGTACATTGTTGAGGATCTCACCGAGCTCGTGCAAGCGCACGCTTGCCACCGCTTCATCCTCTTCGACGAGGAGGACGAGCAGCCGCGGATATTGGTGCGCCTTCATTCTAAGCTATCGATCTGCATGTGGCTGACATCACATCTAGCTATGGTTGTTCAAGCCCAGCATTCGCATCGCGTACGCCCTCAGCAAACCATTCGCTCTGCCACGTCGCGGTGCAGTGCATGCGGCGAAGGTGCTCTTCAAGCTCTTAGGTCCATCTGAAGGGCATCCCGATCTGAAGGCGTGCGTACTCAAACCGTCCATCTTCTGAACCTCACTGATTGTTTCACAGGACACTTGAGCGCTACCCCGGCTTCCCTCAGGCGGAGTACCTGTACTACCCGATGAGCGTATGCCAGCAGCTCGCGGCGCTGCTAAGGCAGAGCAACCAAGCGTACCCGGAGGCTATGCGGACCATGACTGGGCTGGACGTCGGTTGGTTGCAAAGAGCGTAGTGAGTGCGCTTTGGGTCCGGGTTGTTCAGTGTTGTGGAGATGAAGCAGTGCTTAGAATACGAATAGACATTGAAGATACTATGGTCAAAGGGGCGGGCCTCCGATCTTGTTTTTCGAAAACGAAGCATCCAGCGATCTAGAGCAGAGCTGCCTCTGCCACACGAGGCTCTATCTCGGATGCTCCGCTTCTGAATGTATAACCTCAATCTCATGCCGTGAAGTTCAAGGTCTCCGCAGTCTGAGTGCTGTAATCCTAGTACAGCAGCTCCCGCTCTTTCTCCCTGTTCTTTGGAGCTGCCACCATGTCCTCCGTTCCATCCACGAACGAAATACCTGAGACTCGGTGTAACGTCTGCGATGCAGCCACGAACATGCGCTGCTCCCGCTGCTCATCGGTTCACTATTGCAGCAGGGAGCATTCAGTGCAGGTACGTCTCTTGGTTGCCCCGGACGATGCATGTGCGATGACCGTTGTCCACCGCAGGACTGGAAGAAGCATAAGCCCAATTGTGTGACTCCTCGGGTCGCCTCGAAGGCCAAGACATCGTCCAGCAAGCCATCGTTCACCGCGACGCCGTCTCAGCCCTCAAAGGGTTCCTTTCAGGCTATAATGTTGGCCGCGAACGAAGACACGCCGCGCATGATTACTATGGAGTATAAGTGGACCGACGATTTCGACGGTCGCAATCGTCCTATCAAAGTCCAAACTCTCCAACAAAGACACCATTTCGCCAAGTTCGCACATCCGAAGGAGTATTTCGTCAAGAACGTGGGGATCAAAGGAGCCAAACTTCCAAGCGATAGATGCCTAGTCATCCTCTACAACGACCTGATCCTCAGCGACGGTGACACGCCCGTCAACCGGTGCGTCAAGAGTCTGACCAACGGTAAGCGTACTTTGAAGGAGGTGATTGTGCGCTCACTTCTGCACTCTTCACCAGGCAAGGCGCCGCACGCGTGGGCGGACAACCTCATTGTGCTCCGCCAGCGGCCGATGGACCGGTATTGGTACTACGCAAGTGCGAATCTCGAGGAGGATATCGGCGTACTCCGACGTTTCTTTGAGGAATACTGGGCTTAACACATGCTGTGAGCGATGCGTGGGTCAGCGCCTCGAGATTGCTCGCTGATTGCCAGACACCCACACACTTACCAGGTTACTGCCCAGTACGACTGCAATCAACAAGCGCTTTCATGACGGATGTACAGAGACGGGCACGGGGGATACGATTGCATGTACTGCTCTTGGGATGTTATGGCAGTGGCAGCAGCTGTAAAATGTCAGCCCTTCAATTGAGAACAAGGCAACGACCGCGGTCAGGGACATCTTCAGAGGTCTCATCGTCGCATTGCAGTTGGGCATCGATGCAATCGTCCAGCCTCTGGTGATCGAAAGCGGTGATGCGAGTAATATTGCTTGCGTATTATGCAGCCTGATGCAATAAGGTATACCAACGCTCAACGACATACCCGCGCAGCCGTGCCTCGGCAGTCAGTTCCGTCTGCACCTGTGCGATCGCTCCCTGCTACGCCCTCGCAGTCGCTCCAGTTACACCTTCGCAATCGCACCCTTCCCGACCCAGGCCTCCTCGCGCACGGTCCACGGCGCATCCTGCCAGTTCTTGCGCTCAAAGACGAGGTACTCGGTCACGCGACGGGGGACGGCGGGGTAGCGGCGGCCTGTAAGAAGATTGTTAGTCGACGGGCGCAGGAATGACGAGACAGGTGCATGAAAGGCAGGAGAAAGGTGCGAAGGCAGCTCGCAAGCGAACAAACAAAGAGTCACGTGCGCGCGCAAAGGGACAAACAAGCACGCGTTTCGCCCGTCCCCATCCTCTCTCCTCCCCATCTTCTGGTTTACCAGAGAGATAAGAAATGCTCACCCGGCTGAATCGTCCCGTACTCCTTCTTCTGCGCCTCCGTGAGGTGCAGCGGGCGCCCCTGCTTGTCGTACGACTCAATGGACTGCCAGGAGTCGAGCTTGACGAGCGCCTGGATCATGCAGCGGTCGCCGTGCTTGGGGGGAGAGCGGGCGATGTACATCTAGGTGGGGGTTGAGTATGAAAGGAGTGGTAGGCCGGTGGACGTGGAAGAAAGTATGAAGGGAGTAGACTCACCTCATGCGCGCGAATGGAGAGAACCTCGGTCGGGCGCTCGAAGGCGTGGAGGTTGAAGATGTGGACCTTAGCTTGCGCTACATAATATTAAGAAAGACATGAGAGGAAGATGAACTAGCAACGCACGCAGCATGTCGCGAAGCTTGAGCGCGGTCTCCTGGTAGGTGTGACAGGTGTACTTGCGTACGGTGGCATTGTCGCCGCTGCAGACTATCAGCAAGGGAATGCAGAATCCAGACAATCTCACTTACTTGGCAGCAGCACGCAACGTCTCAACGTATGCCTGCTCCATCTCGCGGATCATCCCAGAGAGCCATGGAGAGCGTACGCCGGCGACCCAGGGGTGGATATAGCGGGTGAAGCGACGCCAGAGCGAAGGTGGGCGGGCAGGGGCGCGCGGCAATGGTGCGATAGAGCCGTCCGGGTTAATCTGAGCGACCGTGCCGGTGGTAGACTGCTTCCAGGGCTCCTGCAACCCAAGCTGGCGCAGCTGAGCCGTCTCAGGGGACCCGCCCAACCACGAAGGGCGCGACCAGTTGGAAAACCGTGGTCTCCTCGGCGCGTCGAAGGTAAGCGTCTCCGGCGACTTCATCAGCAGCTGTATCAAGCTCGTCGCGTTCTTCAGGTGATTCCGAACGTTGTCGCCGAGGACGTTGAAAGCGCGGCTAACGTGCGCGCGCGCGACCTGCGTGGTGGGTTTCCCCTCCGCTTCCGCGTCCGCGCGGATGGAGGCGGGGGTGAGGAGATGCGCGGCGCGCACGGGGAGGTGTACGTCCATAGTGCCGAGGTCGCCAGCGAAGGGATCGAGGCCCATGTTGCACATGTACTCGATCTGGTCGAGCAGGTGTGCGACGCGCTCTTGGTACTCCATCCCCTCCGTCTTCTCCTTCTCCGCTGCCTGCCCTGCCGCGCGCCGTGTTGCGCTCGCCTGTTTGAGCACCTGCGCGAGGGAGTTGCTGGTCTTCGTATTAGGCTGCAACTCTTGTAGCTTGCGTAGCGCCTCCTCCACGCTCTCGCCGCTTGCGGTGAGTCCTGCCGCTGCCGATGCATTGCCCTGTTGCCTGGCCGTCGTCGTCGCTGCCTGCGCCACCTCCGTCTTGCTCGGTGTTGTCCGTACGTTCTCCGGATGCTGCGCGGTCTGCGGGACCTGCTTTGGGTTCCCCGCCGTCTTCATTTTCGTGACGTGCCCACGGCCTGCGGTGGTCGTCGGCTGCCTGTTCGCCGTCGGTGTCGCCGCACGCGAAGCATAGTGTCTGAGGGCGAGCGCGGCTGGCTGGCGTCGCGCGAGTCGTCTACATGTCGCCGCCGCGTTCATCGCCGCTCGTCGCGTTCAACAACCAGTGTCCGTCTCTGGATTCTGGATTCTGCAGCCGCCCGATCGCTCCGAGGGCTCGGATGTCCGGTCCGACTTGCTCGCGTGGCATGCAGACGGACCGCCGGCCGGCTTCGTCAGCAACGGAACGGGTTTTTCGCGCGCGCGTCCTGCCGAGCCGGGCAGTCGCTTCTTGCTTCCAGCACTCATCTCAACTCTCATCATGGCTCGCCAGACTCGCTCCCGCCCCTCTGCGCCCTCTGCGAAGCCTTCGGCTTTTGCGCAAACGCGCCCCTCGAGCACCATGGCCGCCCCCGCACCCATGGCAGCGCCCAGCAACTCCGCATTCCGCCCCAAGAGCGCGGCTGCCCCGCCCCCTCCTCCTGTGCATGGTGCGTAAGCACTCACAGAGACTGATATTCTTTGCTGACGGCGACTCCTCTTCTTCCTCTTCCTTCACCCTCACTACAGCCGCCTCCCCCACTCATCACGCTGCCCCGCCGGCCCAGTCGCAGGCGCCTGGTATCATGAGCCAGATCGCTGCCACGGCTGGTGGTGTCGCCCTCGGTCACGGCATCAGCAACATGCTCTTCGGCGGCTCCTCATCCGCTCCCGCTGAGCAGCAGCAGGCTCCGGCACCCGCAGCGCCTGCCCAGCAGCAGTTCGGCTCTGGCGTCAATTGCGAGGTTCAGGCTAAGGGTGAGCATCTCTCTCTACCCTGTCGTCCATCTTGGATGCCCTCGCCGTCCAGCAATTGCGATCCGGCACCTTCTCGAATTTTCCTCTGTTTTCTCCACATGTGTACCCCGCTCCCCACTTCGAAGTGCCCCTACTTAATTTCTCCTCCCTCTTCTGTTTCTTCTTCAAATTTTGCTCTGACGCAACCACTCAGACTTCACCACCTGCCTCGAGAAGGCCGACCTCCCGTCGTGCACGTACTACCTCGAGCAGCTTAAGGCCTGCCAGGCTGCCGCTGCGCCGTACTAAGCGCTTCGTCTGCTCAGTTGGGGTAGTTGCATAGTCTCGGTCATGGACGTGGGGATGCTGTAGTGGATCTAGGCAGTGGTACACATACTAATTACAAGATAGAGAATCCAACCATCTCTCATCAATGCGATCCATCCTTTCTGCTCGATGTATCCTCACCTGCAACGGCCTCAATCACTCAAGTAACAACTCTGGATTAAGTATGCTCGGCTCAGACTGTTCAGATACTGAGAGGAGACGGTTCCTCTCGCCTTCAGCTGCGGGCTTGACGCGTAGGCGCCCAACGCTGAGCAAACTCTGCGCGCTGATTCGCTCGGGCGCCTGCTGGGAGTCCGGCAACTGCCGATAAAGTCTCACGGCCCTTGACCGCACGAAGTTCGAACCTGCTTCCTGCCGACCTGCTCGCCGCTGCGGGATTCTGGGTCCGTCCAATTTGTTGCTTTGAGCGGGAGGTTACATGGATAATCTCTTTTTTTCTGGCTTTCTTCCCTCGGAAACGCATGTGTGAGCTGCTTATGCGTTGAATGCTGACTGTACCTTTCGGAACGCGTACGGTTGCATGGCCGCAGTGATTACCATGAGTCCTCATTCAATGCATCCCAGCGCTGGTGCTTATCAGGGCTACCAGCATCTTTGGCATCATCAAGATACTACGGGACGGCATAGCAGGCAGTGCTACCCAGGGCAGCGCCCGCGACCATTCCGATGACAATCTCATTCGGCAACACAGCGCACGCTGTAAGGTGATATGGAGGGTGTTGATGAGGACGCCTGTCTAGTGTTTCTCCCCTTCGTATCCATTGTCTTCCCTAGTTTTTGCTTCTCCTCGTTCGCTTTGTTAACTCGTTCTTTCCCGCACCTCTCTTTTATCTACGACGCGCTTGCACAGAGCTTGCCATCCACCGCCTGAATAACCCTCTCGCCGTGGTCTCTTCACTTTACCCTCGAACTCCTTGCCGCGCGCAACATGTCCACCGCAACGCCTACCACTCCCGCCCTTCCTACCTCAACAGCCGGCCTTACTCCAGAGCAAGTCGACGCACTTTCCGCCTATGGATACGTGCCAACGGAATGGGTGTGCATCATGTACGTCGCACTATTCAGCATTACTACAGGTGTGTTCTCCGTCTGACTTTATCTTCCTACTCGCATTGACCCCTACGCTCCTCCCCAGCCACCCACCTCGGCCAGGCCATCTACACCCGCTGCTGGTGGCTCCTCCCCACCGTTGGTCTATGCGGCGCGCTCGAAATATTTGGTTGGGCGGGACGCCTTTGGAGTGCGCACGAGGTGCTGAAGAAGGACCCTTTCATGATGCAGTGAGTTGATCGTTCATTCATTCATTCCTTTCGTTCTCTGGCAGGATTGATGCTGATTCCATTCACCACACCGAAGAATTGTCGCCACCATTCTGGGTCCTACGCCCCTCCTCGCTGCCAACTTCATCGTCATGGGTCGCATAGTGGGAAAGCTTGGACCGGCATTCAGTCGACTGAGTCCGAGACTTTGTGCGTTAGAATCAACTATGCCCTTATTCATTTCTGTGCTCATGGGCCTCGCCATGCGTAGACTCGATATTGTTCCTCTCGTGTGTGCGTAGAGGAGATCAATAATGGATGAATAGCGATAGCTCACGCGCACCGAACAGGACATCGTGTCTCTCATCGTCCAAGGTGTCGGCGGTGGGATTGCGGCATCGGCGACTGATCACGAAAATGCAGATCTTGTGAGAGCAGGAGCATCCCCACATCCCATTGATCCCTTATTCCTTCTGATGTTTACCTATTCCATTTCCAGGGCGGTAACATCATGCTCGGCGGCATCGCCTTCCAAATCGTCGTCATCACCTTCTTCACCGCATCCTCTGCCGAATTTCTCTGGCGCTACTGGTCAAATAAGCCTATCTCCAGCACTATGAGCACGAAGATACCCAACCGCTCGACACTCCCGACCAAGCTCCAACTCGCGCTCTACCTCGTGGTGGCGTCGACAACCCTCCTCTTCATCCGTGCCATCTACCGCACGATTGAGCTCTCGGACGGCTGGGGAGGAGAGATTATCAAGACGGAGATATGGTTCAGTGAGTTATTTTCTCATTTTTGCTGGCTTCGTAGACGAGCTGCTGATACGCGAAAAGACATCTTCGACGCCGCGATGGTTGTTGTGGCCATGTACTTGGAGAACGTGCTGCACCCGGGGTGGCTTCTCGCGGTCGAGATGGATGAGGGAGTGTACAAGCTGCAAGATTTCTAAGTGTACCTTTATGCACACCCACTCTGATATATCCTTCGTGAAGTACCAGTGAGATTTAACTCGGCCTTATAAAGTACAGAGCTTGAGGTAGCCTGGGGGTATATCCTGTCGAATTCGATCCTCGTACACTCCTGGCCATGGTTGATCCTGTATATGCAGGGAAGATACTCCGTACCATCTGGGGTTGGACAATGCCCTAGGCCATGTCGACGAGATGTCAACATATCTCCCCGTGACCGCGGGAAACGTTGGTGCTCGGTCAGCCTGGCCTTTGTCGCGTCGCGCCTTTCTTCGTACTCCCACTCAGGTTGCGTCCCACAGTGGTGATCAACGCGTTATTCATGGTAAGTCTCTTGCGTCTCTGCCTGCTGACCGTGAATAACCATGCCGGCCCCGCAGGTCGACCGCTTTACTACATTCAAAGCCGACTTCCAGGCCCTCGTTACAAACGACCAACCTTACGATACTCTTGTGATACCTCCCGAGCTTCTGAAGCACGACCTGCTCAAAGAACTATTCACTCGCCTCGGCCCTTCTCGCATTCCCAAGCTCCCTCTCGACCAGCACGGCGCTCGCGCCATCAGGGACGCCCTCGATGCCCTGACTCTGTATTCGCACTACGCGCAGGCCGCGCTGTGGAGTGGCGACGTCGTCAAGAAGGCCTATATCACCGAGCAGCTGCCGAATGTCTGGAAATGGGCTCTCTGGCTCCTACCCGGCGCGGGCAATGTCGTAGACGTGACCGAGGTGAACGCGGAGACCCTCAGCTTCCCTCTCCGCAAGAACGGGAAGCTCGTCGTCCCGGTGGACTTGCGTTACACTCAGCTGATGATTCTCATTGGCGCCATACTTATCACCGAGAAGGATGCCGATACGAACGCACTCCTCCGAGCACAGCCGCGCTTTATGCAAGTCATGCTCGCCGTACTGGCGCATAACTGGGACAGCTCAAAATGCGATACCTCGAACGCGGCACCTCTACATGCTATGATGGGGCACCTTCGTGATAGCTTGTCGCCGCAGGATGATCCGGAGGTCGTCTTCCGCGCGCTCGCCGATGTCACTGCCTTCGACAAGAAAAATCCCGGGCGTCTCTTCGCTGCCATTACCGAGCGCTTGCCCTGGCTGTATGCGCAGGAAGAGGCGTACAGCGCCGAGTTCCTCATGGGGTACATCTGCACGCTCTCTGCCCTCCACGACTACGCGCCAGAGTCCTTCCGCGATGGCATCCGGCGCGCTAAGGGAGGCGTCATCGCTGTGCGGCTGCTCTCCCGCGTTGTCCCCGATGAGAATCATCCTCGCCAGCGCATCGACGAGACGCAGTCAATCAGCATTCTCATGCTTCTCCTAGATGAGATTCTTATGACTCGCTTGTCGGACGACGAGCTGGTAGAGGTCATCAATGCGGGCCTGTTGGGCGTTATCGACCGGCTGAACCGGTACGTGCCGCTCGACCACGAAGACAGGGAGGACCAGCGCGCTATGGTCAACAAATGTATGAGCATTGTAATTATGCCGTCGCTGGTGTAGCCAGAGGTGCTGCGCGCCTTTCACGAGCGGGCTGTCGAAGCCAAATTGCTAGACGAAGAGCGGCCTGTACATCCAAAATGGCCTGAGTGGACTGCGCTCCTCAAAAGGTGCTCAAAGTTGTGGAAGCGATTCACTACCTTCGAGGAGCGCATGGCCGAGGTGCAGAGCTCCTGTCACAATCCCGAGGTACTTAGTCTTCATTCACCTCAAGCGAATGGCGTGCTGACGACGATCAGTGCACACAACCCAACTCGAAGACCAAGAACGGAATATGTGAATGCGCCAAGGTGGCCTATTGCTCTCCACAGTGCCAAAAGGCACACTGGCGTAAAGCGCACCGGGATGAGTGTACAAGGGACTCCAAGTACCCGATGAGTAAGCCTTCCCCTCTTGTTGAACACACGCAGCGTACTGACTTTCCCCTCCTTGCCACCCCTTGTAGTCCCTTGCAAAGTCATGCCAGACGCGCCATCGAAACCCAAGCTCACCTACGTCCAACGGCACTTCATCCGAGCGTGCGCCCTACGCGACCTCGCCAACACGCGCGATGCCGACCGGATGGCAGGGCGAGCGGTCATGGTCGACTATACCGATCCGTCTGAGGGGGACTGGGCGAAAGGCTTCACAGTCGCGAATATCCAACTACCCGATGGGATGACTGGTTTCGAAGCAGTCGCGAAAGGGATGACACGCGTCTTCGTCCGCGTTGGCTGGGGCACTAGGTTAGCCGCGGACGTCGCCGTGGAGAAGGCGATTTCGGCGGAGGAGGTCGAGTCGATGAGGGAGCCCATCACGGTGTACAAGTTCACCATTTGTTGAGCTTCCTCCCGGAGATGTTCGTCGTGCTACAGATACTTTCAATCTAGTCGGCCTTGCATATGCTTCCAGGTCCTGGTAGTGCGATGATGAGATGACTACTATTGCGGGTTATACAGCCCTAGATCCTGCAAATAACAAGACGAATATACAGTACACAAACCCAATCCCAATCCACATGCCCGTCATGCCGCTCATAACACAGTCAACTTCACCGCGCCCGCGCCCAGCTTCTCCTCGCCATGGTGGTGCGTCGCCGTCGTGACGTCGGCAGACTCGCCTGCGAAGCCCTGGCGATCGCCGAGACCGACAACGTTCAGGCGCTGCTCCTCCTGGTCGAGCTTGCGGAAGCCGATGAAGAAGAGGATGCCGACGATGAAGGCGATGACGGCGAAGGAGCCGAATAGCCACGTGAACTTGTTCTCGACGTTCACCGCGGTGAGCGCGAGGTTGAGGAGAGCGGAGACGGCGGACATGAAGAGGGAGAAGGCCATGACGGTCGACTTCATGCGCTTCGGGGACTTCGTGTAGGCGTATTCGTTGGAAACCAGGGTAGCAAAGAGCCTGAGAGAAAAATCAGAGGAAGGACGGGATTGCGAAGAAGGAGTGAACGTACTCGGAGATACCAACGAGAATGTAGGGGCCGGAGACGATCCAAACGTTCAGCGGAGCAGGGTTCGGGTTGCCGTCCGCATCCGTGCACTCCGATGGGAGGTTGTCGTGGCAAGGCGAGCGCTCATAGATGAACTTCATGAGGATGGCAGCGTACAACATGCCTAGAATCTATGTAAGCATAGGTCCTCGCGACGCAACAAGCCAACATACCCAGTGAGGCGATCATGAAACCGGTCGTTATACGCTTGATCGGCGTGAAGTTGATCTTGAAGCGGCGCAAAGTCGGGTAGAACAACAGATCCAGAATCGGAACCATCGTCACGATGACAATCGGGTTCAAGTTCTGAATGAGATCGTTCGGGGTACCGTTGAGCGTCATGCCAGCAGCCACGGTTGACAAGTTGCCGTCGATCTGCGAGTAGCAGAGGTAGAAGAATGGCAGCGCGCAGAACACCTGGCAGGCCTTGACCGTACGGTCGACCTCGTCCACGAACTGGTCATCCCAGGTGACTTGGCAGAACGTCAGCTGAGCGTACGAAGTACTGAATGAAGAAGCACGTACTGTTGCTGGGAACCTTGCCTTGCTCATACGAGCTGGGCTTCGCGGGGTCCCAGAAGCCTGGCTGACGGATGTCACGGAATGTGCGCGCAAGGTTCCAGGACATCTTCTTGCCAAGGCACATCTTGATCACACGCAGCGTCTCCAGAAGGATAGAGCCACGGGGCGGGGTAACCACGTAGGTCTTGCGGCCGGCAGCCAGAACGACGGGGACGAGGCAAAGGATGCAGGTCGGCACGAGGAACGCTGTCCAAAACCCATGGTCGCGCGCGAGGAAGGACGCCGAGATAGCACCGGCGGAGCCCCAGTTAATGGATGCGTAGAACCTGAGCGCAACCCGTGAGCCTGGCGTGCGAAGCGTATGTGCTGGCTCGATACATACCAGTTGTAGATGCGCTGGTACGTCACAGCGGGGGATACGACGACCACCTCGCCCGACTTCAACGTCTTTTTCCTCATCTTGCCGGTGTATTGCTCCGCGATCATTGGGCTGACATTGGCCTTGATGGCACCACCTCCAATACCCATGATAATGATAGCGAGCACTAGCAGGCCCATTGAAGTATCAGGCGACGCCAACACATGTGGCGTTGCGCTAACGACGAGGATGATGTGGCCAACCCTGAAAGCGGTGATGAGTAGGCGAGGGGGATTTGCGGACGCAGATAACCCACAGGTAGACGAAGACGAAGAGCATGATCGTGTAGTAACGACCGAGCCAACAGTCTGCGATGATACCGCCGATCCAGGGGGTGATGTAGAACCAGAAGCTGTTGAACTGAGAGGTATTCAGGATATGTGCATTGCGGGATAGACGAACACATACCGTGCGGATGGAGAAGGAAACCTGCTGGCCCTTTCCAAGAGCTCCTGCCTGTCAGAAAGCGTCAGAAAGCGCCCTAAGTCTGAGCCATTCCACACTCACAATGCCATTTGCGCGGTTCTCGGGCAATACGGAGCCATCCGTCGAGCCTGGGGGCAAGGGCGCACGAATGTACTTCAAACACTGTCAGCACGCTGCGGGCGAAACGAGACCGCAGAAGCGCACATTGTTGAGGACGTTGATCGTGCCGTAGTACGACCACCGCTCGGAGAACTCGACGATGATGACCAAGAACGACGCGATGTTGATCTTGTCGGAGACGTGGCGGAGGGTGTCCATTTCATGGTAGGTGACGCCCTCCGATCCGGGGACGATGGCATCCGGATCGTAGTGCTCACCGACGCCCGGTGCGACGACGGCGTCGGCGGAGTGCTTCTCGTCGAGCGCGGAGCCCGAATCGCCCTTTTCAGGTGCAGACATCGCGGCGTGCGGCGACGGAGGTGAGGTCTGGGGAAGAACAACCAGCTGGAGAGGCCGGCTACTTTAGCGGCGCGCTTTATACGGCTTCCGCACGCGCCAGCATGGAGTCCCATGATGCCAAGCGAAGCCCTCAGGTACTCGCCCCCCTTCAGCCCAACTGGGTTTGAATAGATAAGTTTAGCCTGGATGGTCCGTGGGCATCATTCGTGTGGTGGCAGATAAGGCGAATACGACCGCATGCTTCCCTCGCACGCGCGCTCGTGTGCCCGTCCTTGGCCTGTAATATGTTGCAGATTTACTGGAGCTCGTCAGGCGCGCCGCTGGCGGGGGGCGCGGTGCCCGTAAAATTAGCGAGGCGAGGGCGGGAGTAGTGCGGACGTCGTCGGACGCGCAATTCGGCTCTGTTGACGCGATATTGTGCGTCCCCGTCCATATGGTCGGCAGCGCTGTCAGACCTCGGCTTTGAAACGCAGCAGCGGAGCGGGGGCAATTTCTGTCGAACCGCGTGGATCGTCCATCCTCCGAGGTCTGTTGAATAGTGAGAAGAGGCACATTTGAGGATGTGAGCAACAGCGCACCGGAGAAGAGCGCACCCCGCGTTTCTTCCGTCGGCCGTACACTTCTGAGATCGGGGCGCTGTGGCGGGGGCGATGCGCAGGGCGGGCTGACAGGGCCTGGTCGAAGGGAGGCCATGGCGCCATCGGGACGAAACGGCCTGGGCGCGTCGGAGCTCATGCAACGAGCGCCTCTGTCCATCTGTGCTCTAGTCATGCTGCAGCTATCAGCGAATCAGACACTGCAAGTTACCCATCCCCTCCCACATTCCGCCGACTCGGGAAATCGGACCGGTCTTCCGAAGGCTTTGTTCTTTACCGCTCCTGCCCGGACCTGCCGATCCTCAGAATGCGGGGGTGATAGATCAGCGAGGCGGAAGTCGTCCGGCCGGTCTCGTCGAGTCAGCAGCTTGCAGGTCGCCCGCGTCGGCCGTGCAGGTCAATGCCCTTCGCAGTTGTCGACGCAGTCATCCACTCTTCCTCCGTCGGGTCGTCTCGCCATATTTTCTGCCGACTGCGATAGATATGTCGATCCTCGCCGCCCGCGATGGAGATCCGTCCTATCCAGGGGGATGCGCTGCTCGTTGATGGTGTCCCTGCATCACTGTTTGCGTCAGTATATGTCAGAGTTACTGTCTGAATAGCCTTGCCCCGACTCGTCGAAGAGATAAGGAAGGTCGCTCTAATGCAACCGAGGGACCTACGCCACAGATTTGGCACAATGGGGAGCACACCAGTCCTCAACATCGTCCGCGCCTATGCTGAGAAGCGCCGACTACCCGTCTCGACCGCCTCTGAATGTGCTGCGCGCCGCCATCGTCTTCAAGCACCTTGTACGCCGCAAGGAAACGATATTGGCATTGCAAAGGTATCAGAAAAGTCGTATTTTGTGGCCAATCGCTCGCTGGTGGGGATGGAAAGCCGAGAACCTGGGTATATGCGCCCAATTCAGCAAGTCCGGCGTATGGATTTTGGCGCGCGATGAATTCGAATGTGGTGTCGGAAGATTCACAACAGATACGCTTCGCCGAGGGTGTGTACGCCAGTGTCGGGAAGATGGCCGCCCATGCAATTGGAAGGACGAGCCTATGCAATGACAAGGGTCAGAAGCACATGAACTTGTCAAGCAAGCCTGCACATGAACAGAGTCAGTGCTGAGCCCAGGCACGGCCATTACGGACACGCACCTCGCATACAAGCACCTCATATAGCAGGCACATCGTCCACAAAGGAGAACAATAGGCGAACATCGAGCATGGTGACATGCTCGATGCCGAGGACGGTGGCGCGCTCGCCCCTCGCGGTGCTGAAGTTCAAGTTCGAAATTCGGGCGGATCCAGAGCACGCAATGAGTAGCTGGAGCATTCGACGGTGAGCACGATGGCTTCAGAATGCGAATTTGGAGCCTTGAACTCAGTCGAGAGAAAGGGGGCCAACCGCGAGGCCCAGCTGGAAGTACCGCATGGTTCGAGTGGGTCACGGTCTGGGCGACGGTGGCGCGCGTCGACCCGGCGCGCTCGAGCTTCGAGGACGCCGCAAACGGCGCCGACGACTGCGAAAAAGCAGGGAAAAGACGGGGAGATGGGGGTAGAAGGCAAGGAGGAAAGATAGCAGAGGGATTCCCGAAGCCGACCCTCAGGAGTCACTGCGATGCCCGAGTCACGCCCGCGCGTCGCGTTCTGCCTCCTGTGGCACGGCCCGAGGGGCGCATCATCAACACGAACAAACAGGGCAGGCGGCGGGATGAACCGTGACAGGTGCGTGACGGGAGGGCGGGCTGGCGGAGAAAGACGAATGAACAGGGGCCGTGGCCTCGTATAATGTCATCTAGCAAAGATGCGTAAAATACAGCAGCGATACATGAGGAAGATATGTGCAGTGAGGGTGGAAAGATGGGCAGGGAGGGTGAAGGAGGGGGTGAGCGAGATCATGGGGCTACAGCACTTCATTGCTTAGCCTTTTTCGAGGGTCTCTTCGGCTTCGACTTATCCTTATGTTGCGGCGCGTCCTCTGCGTCTGCCTTGCGCTTCTGGCCACTCTCCTTACCGACCTTGACGCTGACAATGCCGCGCGCGCCGATCTCGACGCCCTCGAGGGCGGCGTCGTTGATGGCGAACCTGGGATTGAAGCATCAGTGAAACTGTTCTCTCTACGATGTGCGCCGACGCACAGAACACGCGCCGACTCGTCCGCGCCCACCAGCCTGCCATAAGCACTCACTTTTTCAAATCCAGCGCACTGATCATCTCCCTCCTCCTCTTCCTATCTTCCTCCTCCGCCGCCTCATCCAGCTCCTCTTCCATCTCGCGGACCACCTCGCCCGGCGCGGCGAGCGCTATCCGCGCAGTCTCCGCGGGCAGGTCGGTGGCCGTCGCGACAATGTTTTCCTTTCGCACGTCGCTGATGCGCTTGCAGATCTTGCGGATGACCTTGTTGAAGAGGGCGAGGGCTTGTGAGACGGGGAGGGAGAGCTCGCGCTGGGAAGGTGGGATCAGCACTTGCTAATGAATCGGGCAGGGGAATTGACTGCACATACCTCGACATCCTCAATCGTCTTCCTTTGCAAACCTAGGGCTAGCAAAATCGCGCTCTGCGCCGCGCTCAGTTTCACGCCCTTCTCAGCCTCATCTCCTAGAAGAGGGTAAGTTTTCTGTCCAACCCAACAAGCCCAACAGCCACTCACTATCCCCCTTCGCCCCAAACTTCCCCGCAAAGTACATCGCCGCGATCGTGGGCATCATGTCCATGATGACATGGAAGTCGAGCATGTTGTTCGCGTACGACTCAAGGCGCTTGATGTCGTAGGGCGTGAGGTGGTGCGCGAGGTCGCCGGCAGTGAGGGCGTCAGTGGGTGCTGAGTGGGGGGCGTGGTCAGCATGTCATGTGATAGAAAGATATAGAAGGAGATGGTGGCGCGAGGTGCTGTGGCGTGCGATATGCGAGTGCTTTCTCTGCAGTATGGGAAGGGCCAAGCCAGGACTGAAGTGGATGTACAAGTGATAAGACGGGACAGAAGGACCCCATGCTACCGGACCCTGAAGTCCAAGGGACAGTAGCCCGAAATCAGGTCAACCCTCAACAAGATGAATGACAGGACACAGCTACTGCATTCCAAATGCTGCTGGACTCCATATGCAGCGGCAGCACTTGCAATGCAGAAGCGACACTCCAATGCAATCACTTCGAAACGCCACAACTCCCCGCGCCACAAAAGACATACCTGATGTCTGCCCCGCCTTCTTCACTCCACTCTCCACCGCCTCGAGCACGCTCAGCGCCGTCACGCTCGTCCAGTCCCGGAAGCGAGGGAAGGAGAGCAAGGAGAGAAAACGGCGTCGGAAGTCTGTCGAAGGAACGTCAGCGGCGATGAGCGGCGAACGATACGCGACGAAAGGAACAGATGAAGTGCACGATCCAACTCACCCTTCGCAAACTCCACCACCCACTCGCTGCCGCTCTCGCCCGTGTTGAGAGACTTGATCATGACGCAGGTGTGCTCGCCGGTCAGATCGCTGGTCGTTTGCCGGATGTAAATTGGCACATAGCCGGCGCGTTTCCAGAACCTCAGTAATTGCCCTGTCAACCCGTACGAGACACCCAGCCAGTCAAGCGTTTGCGGCTTGACCTCTTCTAATCTTTGCAGCAGTGGCGGCATGGAAGAGACGTTGCGGATGGTGGGTGCGGATTCGGTGAGGAGGGATGTGCCGGGCTGAACGATATGTTAGACAGCACGAAGCTGGGGACAAGTGAGGCACTTACTGCGACATCGTCCTGCTGCATCGGCGTGTCCTCTGGACCGTGATCCTTCGTGTAGTCGTACAACTCGCCGCTGTAGAACTGCGAGAGCGCCTGCACGGCACGCGAGCCGTAACCCATCTGTGAACTCCAGTCAGCTAGCTATCGCGAGATACGAGAGATGCTACTCACGCTTGCATAGTCCGGGCTCACAGCAATACGCACGATACGGGCACCGCTCAATCTCCGCCCGAAGCTCGCCTCCTGGAACTGGCTGCTAACGATCCAGGGTATCAAATCACCCCCAGACCGCCAATTCCTATCATCACCATCCCCACCCTCGCCACCGACCACACCCTTTCGCAACTCCTCCTGCCCGACGCCTCGCCGAATGCCACCCTCCAACGCGACCTGGAGCACGACGATAGGTTCTGGCAAGTACCGTTCGTCATCCTTAATGGGCGGCAGCAGCACGAACAGCTCATGCGCGGGTGCGTCGGAGAGCAATTGGAGGTCGTTCGGCTGGTTCTTGTAGTGCGAGGACACATAGAGCGACATCATACGCTGCAAGAACAGCTCCGAGGCAGGATGGTAGGAAAACAGCGTATCCCTCGACACGCGGAACAGGGGGCAAGTCGACGGATGAGGCGTCCCCTGCGCCTGCGCCGCGGCCGACGGCGCCGTCGACGTGCAGTCCAGACACAGCAGCTGGTTCAGCCACTTCTCGATCTTGTCGCCTGCACCGTACCGGATGGGCGTGCTAAGCTTCACCTCGCGCAAGGAGCGCGTCTTCACGGATGCAGGTGCCGCGGCGACCTTCTTTTTCGTTGGTGCGGGGGCGGCATCGTCTTTGGAGACGGTGTTTGGGGGCGCGGAGGGTGTGGAGCGAGTGCTTTCTCGGAGCTGCTGAATGAGCTTCAACGAGAGGGAGCGGCCAGTGCCTTCGTAGCCGTTGATGGTGGAAGCGAGGAAGACGAGGTAGGGCCCGATGAGGTTGCGGACGAGGGGGAGAGGGATGGCGGCGGCTTCGTCGATGATGACGAGCTCGGCCTGACCGAGGACATGTGCATCTTCAGGTTGGATGTACTGCAGGCGCGTTAGATCCGTGGACCACAGATAGAATAAGTAGACGTACCTGGATGGTTTGCCTGTGCCCCTTGAACACATTCACCCTCACGATCGCCTTCCCCCACTCCGGGTTCGTGCTCTGCATGATGTCGTAGTCCAAGTGCTCCTCATAGCCCAACGCATCCATCCCCTTGAAGATAAACTCAAACAGCGTCTTCAAGTTCTCCGGCGTCGGACTCGTTACGAATATATTGCTATACCCAAACGACAGGGCGGCGGCTATCGACAAACCGAGCGCAGCGGACTTTCCGCGTCCGCGCGCAGCGGTAAGGGAGACTGTAGAGGAGAGGGTTTTTGACGAGATGGCGTCGATGAAGGTGAGGATCGCCTGCGCTTGATCGACCGTCTTGGCGAGGGGGACGAGGGCGTCGGCGGGCTTGGTCTCGGCGAGACTTTCGGCGAGTTCCTTGAGTTCCTTCGTTTGGGGCTTCGGGAGCTCGTCATCAGAGACGGGCGAGATATCCTTCCCTCGCGAGATGGGGAGCACGTTCAGCTCGTCGTCCAAGAACAAGCAGTCATCGCACGAGCCCAGCGAGAGAATGAATCGCTCATTGAAGCGCGGGGTCACCGCATCGTGCGATGCCGTGCGGTACCGTGCATGCACATCCATCGTCATGTTGTACAGCTGTCGGAGCGAGCTCATCGTCTTCAGCAGCAACACGACAAGCCCCCCGCCCTCGACCGTCTCGATCGTGCGCGCGAGCAAGTTTGGCGTGATCGCCTCGAAGTCCTGCAGCACGCACATTCCGTAGGTGTTGCCCAATATCTTGTGCGACTCCTTGTAGTATGTGTACCGAATGTCGGTCACGGTGACGAAGATCTCAAACGGGTTCTGTTCGTTGGGCTCGCGCCGACCGCTCTTCACGTCGCGCTTGATCTTCGCTTCGCGCTTCTTGCGGTGACTGGTAAAGCCAAGCTCCTTCTTGTAGCACCATAGCACGGAGGGGCGGGCGGACACGCGCGCTTGCGACAACAGGAAGTGCAGGTTCACGATCTACGCACGAGAGTATCAGCCAGGAGTTCCCCCACGCCATAGCAAACCACACACCTGGTCCCTGCCCTTGTCACCAACCAGAACGATGAAGGATCGGTTGTTCTTCTTGACATTGTTGTTTATCAGTATCGGTATTCGCGGGTCGAGCTGTTTTCGCATCTTGGCCGGGGGAAGGAAAGAACAATGGCGGGTCCAAAAATTTGATCGGACATTGTACTTTGCCACGTGGGCCAAGTGGCATTTGTCCCAAGCGACACTCAAACCATTCCCAACTCCAGATACACTCACAAGGCTTCCCACAAACGTATACGGGGATCATGATGCATACATTGTGCTATAGCTGAGGGTACAGATAGCAAATACACGAATCAGACCCATACGAACATCAACAACGTCCACTCCGCCTCCCATCCACCGTCCTCCGAAACAACACCACCCCCGCCAAATCCACCCAACGGCATGGTAAGTAACACGATACAAAGCTCTCGTCATCGAGGTAAGGGTCATCGAGTAGGAGGAAGACGCTACGAGTAAGGGAACACGCTATGAAAGGGGGCAAACGCTATGAGGGCGAACACGCTATAGGGGGGAGAACACGGACACTACGGGGAAAGATAACATGCGTAAATAATACAATACCGCGTCTACGGCGCGCAGAAGGATGCTTGGGATCGTGAACGGCCTATTATGCGAACGTTGGATACCAGGACATGTGAAAGCAGAGAAAGTGTGGGTCCCCCTAGCAAAGAAAGCGTGAGCCCCTCGGAGCAGATTGTGAAAGGTATGTTATGTGTGAGCGATCGTGGTTCGTTGACAGCGTTGATTGGTTGGCGGTTCCCCGGGACCTCCTCTCTCCCCCTTCCCTCATCCTCTCCCTGCGTGACGCACCACTCATCTCGCCGCACCGCTGCCTGCGGGAACCGGCGCGCGCTGCGGAGGGCGCTGCTGAGGGGTGCCGTTGCGCTGCACGCCGTTGGCTGCCTGTGCACGCTTCTGCTGCTGTTGCTGCTCTTCCGACGCCCCCGTCGGCGCAACATACAGTCCCCGGTCGATCGTCTGGGGTATCGGCATAATCTCTGTGCCCAGCTCCTGCTCGATCTTGTACAAGTTGAACCGGTCCTCGTACGTGACGAGGTTGATCGCCAGACCCAGGTGCCCGAAACGACCACTGCGACCGATACGGTGAAGGTAAGTCTCCGAGTTCTTGGGGAAGTCGAAGTTGATGACGACGTTGACGGCCTGAATGTCGATACCGCGGGTGAGGAGGTCGGAGCAGACGAGGTTACGGCACTGGCCGTTGCGGAAGTCGTGGAAGACGCGGTTACGATGCGATTGCAGCATCTTGGCATGTGAGTAGAAGCACGAGTAGCCCAGCTCAGTGATCTTCTTCGCCAGGAGCTCGACGCGGTTGGTGGAATTGCAGAAGATGATGGATTGGTTGATTTGGAGCTGGGGACGGGGGACGGGGTGAGTTCTACGACGGGGGACGAGACGAACGCCGCGCACCTTGGAGAAGAGCGTGTTGAGGCAGTGGACCTTCTGTCTCTCCTCAACGTACGCGTAGTACTGGGTTACTCCGCGCAATGTCAACTCCTCCATGAGGTTAATCTCGTATGGATTGTTCATGTGCTTCTCCTGTCCGATCGTTAGCGCCTAGGACTTTTCGAGCATAGCCTGACACGCACCTTGAAGTCCTTCACGATCATCGGGAAGGTGGCGCTGAAGAGCATGACCTGCCTGTCGTTGGGCAGGTACGATAGTAGTTGCTCCATCACCGGCGCGAATTCGGGCGAGAGCAGCTTATCCGCCTCGTCCATCACGAACACAGGGCACTGGCTGAGATCGGCGACGTTCTTGCCAGCGAGATCGAGGATACGGCCGGGGGTGCCGACGAGGACGTGCACAGTCTCGTTCAGACGCAGGATATCGTCCTTGAGCGTCGTGCCACCGGTGGTAACCATGACCTGGATGCCCATGTGCTTGCCGAGGATCTTGCATACCTGACTCGTCTGGAGCGCGAGCTCGCGCGTCGGGACGAGCAGGAGGGCCTGAATCTTGTTCTTGGTCGGATCGACCTGTTGTAGTGTGGGGATGACGAAGGCGGCGGTCTTGCCCGTGCCGTTTTTCGCACGGGCGAGGATGTCGCGCCGCTGGAGGGCTTTGGGGATGGCCTCCTCCTGGATGGGTGACGGCTTTTCAAAGCCGGCTTCGAAGATGCCCATGAGGAGTTCGCGCCGGAGGTACATGTTTTCGAATTCGGTGCCCTTCGTCGCGAGGACATCCTCCGTCTGTGGTCGCAAGTCTTTTGGTGGGGCGCGCAGCCCTGATTTCCAATCATTGTTGGACCTGAGGGGTTATGTTCAGAGATACTTTGAGGCCGAAAAAAGGATAAGCGCACGGAGTGGTGGAAGAGGATGTTGCTTGTGACATTGTGGGCGAAAAAGCTGATGCAGGACGATATCCGGACGCGGTTCAACGCGATGGGGGAGTGGCCGGAGTGATGAGAATTGTTCTCGAGATTTATGGAGCCTGAGGGATGGCGTTGGCGGCGGCGGTGGCGACGGTATGAAGAAAGACGCGTGGACTTCGCTTTTCTCCAAAACCCAGCGACTCCAAGTGAGTGTGACCGTGACCGTGACTATAATGTTCCGCTGCTTCCCATAGTTGGTCCAGCCACGAGCCGACCACCACTGTACGCCGCTGTAGCGCAGATGCGAAGCAGTAGCACGACCACCGACATATGTTTCCGGATGCCACATGCGTAAGAAAAGGAATTCGACGTGACGGAGGCGGGCAGAGGAGAGTCAAGCGGGACAGGAGGATGGGGAATGCGTCAGCAGCGAGCAGCCACGGCCGCCTTCGAGGCTGGATTGCACGATGCGGTGAATTCTGTTGCACGTCGTCGTTGCTAACAACTTTTCAGCATGCTCAATGAATGGGCTACGACTGGCGAACCACGTCGTTCTGCGCTTCCACCGCTGCGCGCTTAGTAGTGCCGACAAGCCCCCTCAAGCGATCAAGTACACATCGGCGACGACAAGCATACGCCGCAGGCGTATCCCCTCCCACCGCTTCTCCTTTTTCTCTCCTCGCGAGACAATTCTCGTTCGTCATTCCTACCATTTTACTGTCGTCCGAGCGAGTGCTGCCACGATTTCAGCTGTCACTAAAGCACCCGCTTGTCCTGAAGATCGCGCTGCTCAGCGTGAAGCGCAAGGGCGCTCCCTTACACCTAGAGTTGGTTCTCCAGCTTATCAACAGTTTGTATGTACTTACCTTAGCAACTGTATGGTCCAGGTATAGCTAACACGACAATATAACACTTGCCTCGATCTACGAGCACGGCAGACCTTGGAGGTCTTGTAGGACAAGAATCAGCTTCAAGACCGCGATGATGTCATCAAGTTCAACTTGCTCTGATGTGAGTGTGCGCGTATGCGCGTGTGTGCCGTCAGTTGGCTCAACGAAATGACGGAAGAGTGGATGGTGGCGCATGGCTTAGCGACCCACAGAAGTCCCAAAGCCTCGCCATGGCATATTATACTCGGCAGGGACTTAGCAAAGCAGTCCGGCAGCTCGTAACCTGCGTACGAAAGCCCACGGCAGCCTCATCACGAAGCCAGACTCGGAAGTCGCATAAGCCGTGGGGGACGAGTACGATTCCCGTGTTGAACGGCCAAATATGATCTGCATATCCCGCGAGTCCCGCAGCAAAGTGAACGCCTGACCAGCGTCTGTGAGAAGCGACTCGCCGAGAAACCTGCCGCCACTCTGCCGCGTACCGCGCCTCGGAGCACCGCCGCGGGAGGTCCGTCATCACGATTCCCAGAAGGGAAGTTTATTCTTGAGTCCTATATAGGTTGGCCACCCGGGACCATGTACGGCACTCCCACGATCCTCACATCCGTAGCATTTAGATTGACTCAATGGCTTCTCCCACTTCAGTTCTTATCGTAAGTACTACTTCCCCCTTTCTTTCCTTTTCTCGGCAGGTGGCAAGACGACTGACCCACTCACCCAGGTCGGCGCCGGTCCAACCGGTCTCTGTCTTGCTCTTTCCCTGCTAAAGAACGGGGTCCCTGTGCGCATCATCGACAAGCTCCCTACGCCCCGTATAGGGCAGAAGGGAAATGGCATCCAGGTTTGCAGTCACTACTTCACCTTCCCTTTTCGAAATCGCTGACCTCGGTAATATAGCCCCGAACGCTGGAGATCCTATACTCGCTAGGCCTCCTCGACGACGTCTTCAAGCGCTCCTGCCATATCAAGAGCCTCGTCGTGTACGAGATGCCTGGCGCGACGAAAATAGCAAAGGAAATCACGCTCACGCCGCAGATCGAGCCGACGCCTGACAAGCCCTTCGTAAATACCTATTTCTCTCTGTACGGTCGACTTAATGACTCAGGCATCCTCAGCCCAATTCACGAGCCATAGGCCAGGACCGCTTCGAAGCCCTCATCGTCGAGCACCTCGAACGTCTCGGCGCCACTGTCGAGCGTGGTGTCGAGCTCAAGAGCTTCACGCAGAACGCCACCAAAGTCTCCGCTGAGCTTGTCAAGCTAGACGGCTCTGTTGAGACCGCCGACTTCGAGTACCTCGTCGGCTGCGACGGCGGGCATAGCCCAGTGCGTCACCTCCTGGGTCTGAATTTCCTCGGCGAGACGCGCGAGGGGGAGGGCATGTTCGTCGGCGACTTCATCATCAAGAAGGGGATCAGCGACGTAGGTTTGCTTTTGTTGAAGGTCGCTCGCCTCGCTGATCCACCGTCCTAGGATTACTGGCACTGTTTCAACGGCACCGGTATGGGATTGGGTGCCACTCCAGGCGTGAAGGCTGAGGGTGCATCGGGGGAGGTGTACGTTAATTTTCGGAATTCAGTCTCTCATTCCACTTGCTAAAGCACCCTCAGCACCTTCATCTTCCGCACGGCCGAGATCCCTGGCCTGTCCACCATTATGGCGACCGGACCGGATATCGAGGGCATCAAGCACCGACTTTCCAACCGCGAAGGAATGATCCAGGCATTCTATGAGGTAACGGGTCGCACCGATGTCGAGTTTGGCGAGCAGCTCTGCGGAAATTGGTGGAGGCCGAACATTCGCATGGTCGACTCGTTCGGCGAGGGCAGGGTGTTTGTTGCTGGAGGTAAGCGCATTTTTGACGAATTATCGTAGTGTTGCTCACAATCCATACAGATGCTGCACACACGCACAGCCCCACAGGCGGTCAGGGTATGAACTCTAGTATCCAGGACGCAGTAAGTGATATTTCCCAGCCTCAGCCCTACCCCGAACTCACCCCTCCCCCAGTACAACCTCGCCTGGAAGATTGCCCTTGTCCACAAGAAGCTCGCCCCACCCACACTCCTGGACACCTACTCCACCGAGCGCCTGCCCGTCATCGCCACCATGCTGCAGAAAACAACCGACCTGCTAAACAAGACCATGGCCGCATTCCAAAAGGGTGTCGCGAATCCAAGTGTGACCAACGAGGCTTGGGAGCGCGGCGGCGAGCTGCAACAGTTCGGCGTGAACTACAGGGGCAGCACGATCGTGCTCGACGAGCGGAACCCCCCGGAGGAGGGCGCAATTCCTAGCGCGTATGGCTCGGGAGCGGGTGGTGTGAGGGCGGGCGATAGGGCGCCGTCGGCGCCGGTGAAGGGGTTAGGGGAGGGGGCGGAGAAGCTGTTCGATGTGTTCAGCCCGACAAGGCATACGGTGTTGGTGTTCACGGCGGGGGAGGCGGCGGCAAAGGGTGTCCTGGAGCAGGTGAAGGCGTTGCCAGAGGGGGTGGCGGAGGTTGTGGTCGTCGCGCCGAAGGGGAAAGCGGTGGAGGCGGCTGGAGCGAGGGTGGTGGAGGACGTCGACGGGCATGCGCACTCGATATACCAGGTCGAGCAGGACCCTACCATTGTCGTCGTCCGTCCGGATGGCGCGGTCGGCGCGATCGTGCTAGAGGCGGCGGGGGTCGGCCGTTACTTCTCAAAGGTTTTTGCGTAGAGCATTTGAAGGTTGTGTATTACAAGGCATCGATGTTATTGTAGAATCAATTAACACACTTCATATTCTGATCGACCTCGTTTCGTCAAACCTGCGAATAGCATACAACATTGTTCTGAGTAACGCCTTGAATCCATGGATAATGCCAACCTCTTGACCGATCGACCTAGTTGGGAACCGTTAGACATAGTATTGAGCTTCGTACCTTAATTACAGGTACTGATCTTGCAAGTCGAAGGGGACAGCTCGTCACGAGTACCCCTCTGAACCGCCGCGTCATCGTGGCAATCTTGCGCATCTGCCTCCCTGACTGCCCTGAGCATTTCAGCGAAAACATGTATAGCATTGCACGTAACATATCGAAAGCACTGTGGACAGGACGAGCAACTACACGGATGGACATCTAAAGTATATATGCTGGATGAGATAGAATAGTCCGTTGTGAAGTGATCGTGGAGAGAAATAGATAGTTTTCGAAGTTGGTTAGGCGCAGCGCAGATGTTCTGAGCCTCGACGGCCTTCATGTAAGCGTTGCGCTACGGACCCGTACAGGCATCGAGGCTCAGTAGTCACGCCGCTGAACAGCATGCGCCGGATACTGCCCCGACATCCCACTATGGTGGGACATCCCGCTGTGATTCGACATCGCGCTGGTCATCCCACTCCTCCCGGACATCCCGCTATGGCCAGACATCCCCGACAGCGCGCTCCTCCCCGACATCCCTGACATCGCACTGTGCCCCGACATGCCACTATGCCCCGACATCCCAGACATCCCACTCATCGCCGACATTCCACTCCGGTTCGACCTCACGCTCTGCCCCGAGCGATTCGATGCCATCGACGCCATAGAGTACTGCCCGCTGCTGTGTTGGCTCGACTGGCCGAGGCTATTGTGACTCGACACGGAGGCGTACTGGTCGTAATAGGGCTGCTGGCCCATCTCCTGGCTCGCGTACATGCTGTTGCCGGTATCCTGGTACGCGACGTCTTGGTAGGAGCCGCCGGTGTCCTGGTAGTCCTGATAGCCTCCGCCGTCCGCATATCCCATGCCCGAGTCCTGATATGCCCCGCCGTCTGCGTAGCCCATACCCGAGTCTTGATAAGGTATACCGTTTTCCGGGTATGAGCCCCCATCCTGATGGTAAACGGTACCGTTCTCGGAATACGCCATCCCACTATCCTGGTACGACCCGCTATGCCAGGACAGCCTGGACGACGAGGAGGCATTCGACGCCCTTCGCGCTCGCGGAATATCCAGGGACTGCGTCGACTGATTCGCCATCATCGGCTGCGCGAACGGAGGGACGGGCGACGCCCCCTGAGGCATGGGCGACGTGCGCTGGGGCATCGGCGGCACAGGCGACGGCGGCGGTAGATGACCCGAAGGCGAGCGCCCATGAGCCGCGGACGGCGGTCTCGCATGCCCAGACGTCGTCCTCGCATGTCCCGACACCGCCCTCGCTTGCGCCGCAGACGAGGGCGGTCTCGCCTGGCCCGACGGCGCCCGCGTATGCATCGATGATGGCGGCCTCCCAGCTTGCACCGACGGCGACCGCGCATGCGTCGGTTGAGCAGGATGCACTGAGGGCGGGCGGGCTTGCACGGATTGCGACCGTCCGTGCGCGCCTGGAGAGCGAGAGCGTTCCCGCTGTTGCGTGGGCGGGAAGAGCTCGGACTCGTGCGGGATGTAGGGCATGCTGGACTGCCCGGGTGCGATACGGAGCGTGTTCGTGCGTCGGCGGGGTGGAGGGTCCGGAACCGCGGGAGCAGGCACACCATATTGCTGTTGGGGATCCGGCGTGCTGTACTGCTGGTCGAAAGGATTTGGCAGTGGCTCCTCCTGCGGCGAGTCGTACACAGGTTGCTGTGCATCGTAGGCCTGCTGTTGCGCGTCGTATGCCTCGTACCCGGGTTGCTGAACCTCGTAGCTTTGCTGACCGTCGTACGTCTGCGCATCGTAGCCCTGTCCATCGTATTGCGCATACCCATTCGACGGCAGGTATTCCCCGGGTTGCACACCAGCGAGCGAAGAATAGGACTCGCTCGAGTGATGATGGTGAAGGGACTGTTGTTGCTGAGGTTGCGGCGGCGCTTGGTGCGGCTGAGGTAGCGGCCTCGATGACGACGACGCGAATTGCGCAGGTATCGGTGGGACAGGGGGCACTGACTGTTGTGCGTACTGCGCGGGAATTTGTGGCACGGGTGGTGCGTTAAGCGCAGCTGCACCGAGCCCACCAAGCGTACCCGGCCCAAGGGTGCTGAGCGCGGTCGAGAGCGTCCGACTTCGCGGTGGAGGCATGGGTGTCGCCGAAGGTGGGAGACCAGGCGTCATGGTCGGGAGTGGCGGCACAGGAGGCACTGGCGGTGGGAAGGACCCTGACCTGCTAGGTGGCATAGGTGCTGTGGACAGCGTACGACTGCGCGGTGGAGGCATTGGAGGATGCTGAGCAGCGGCCATACCCGATGGCTGTGGCGCCATAGACATCGCGCGACTACGAGGACGCTGTGTGGGTTGAGGCGCCACGGACAACGCACGAGTCCTAGGCGGAGGCACGGGTTGCCCATTCGGCCCATCTGGGTACGACGGGACGCCTGTCGGCCATGTCTGCGGCGGCACGGTCGCTGACGGAGGCGCACTAGGAGGTGGCCAGGCACCCCATGAAGGCGGGGGCGCGGCAGAGCCTGGAGTAGGTAGAGGACGCGAGTGCACCACCGCCTCATGTTGGACGTAAGGGTCCGCCGACGGAGGAGGGTAGGCGTTGAGCGGCGGCTGATATGTTGGCGTGCTAGGAAACGTCGCCGGTCCCCCTGGGCTGGGTGCAGGGTACGGGGAGTCATACGACTGGAGTCCGAGGTTAGGTATATTCACTGAGGTCAAACGTCAGTGTGCTTACAGGGAAGGACTGGTGTCCTGTACCATTCGTTTGTACGCGCAAGGAGCCCATATTTTCCGCCAATTTCTCGACGGATGGAACTGGAGGGGGTTCCTCATAGGGTGCCGTGTAAAGCTCGTACTCAGTCGCAGTGGACTTGCGCCGGGATTGTTTCGAGTCTGAGCTCTCCCCACCGTCAGGGCCGACGAAGACGCCAGGTCCACCGTAAGCAGCGCTCTTCCTCGCCTTCTTCTTGGTTTTCTTCGGAGGGGGCTTCAACTGGAATCCTCGATCAGCGTCTTCTGAACCCAACCCGCGCCACCGCACTCACATTCGACCAGAATGTCATCTGCAGCGACACTTGCCCCGCAAACCTATCCTTGTGCGACAAATCGAACCAGTCTGAGCTTCACCCGTGAGCCCTACGCGGGTAGACGCGCCACATCGCAGACACACCATCATGCTCGCCCTTGGTCAACACACGCGTGAGGTCGACGGTCGTCTGGCCGATGAGGTCCGGCTCTTTGAGGCCCTCGGCAAAGCAGGCGACCTGCATCTTGAAGCCGCCCTTGATTTTCGGCGGGCCGTCCTCTTGCTTGGGTGGGAGTTCGGGTGGGGTGTCTGAGGATTGGGGGCCGAGGCTGCTCGAGCCTTCGGACTCGTAGAGGGTGAAGCGGAGCTCTTGATCCCAGTGCGCGCGTTGCCCAGCGCGGTTGATAGCTCGAGTGCGCTGCTTCTCGCCGTTGAAGCTCACGACGCAGTAGGGGGTTTGCTTGCCAATAGCTTTCTTGTTCGTGAGGTGCATCTGTGTTCATGATCTATCAGCTACTCCAGGGAGGAAGTACAACCACGTACGGCCTCGAGGACCACGACAACAAGTGTTCCGACGACATTGTTTTTGGGGGATGAGGACATGGAAAACGCGGACGAGACGGCGCGCATGAGGTCGCGACGCGCCATCAACACAGGGGCGGTCACGTGGGTGCGTAGGGTGCGCCCTCCTGGTTGCTATTTGACCCAACTCTGTTAAGGCGAGATGGCCGAGCGGTCTAAGGCGCTAGAATCAGGCGGTAATGCGCTTATGTAATCTAGTTCTTCGGAGCGTGGGTTCGAATCCCACTCTCGTCACATTTTTGCCTCTTCAAGCTTAGTTCAAGCCCTCCTGAGTTTGGAAGAACAGCTGGAAATTGGAATTCTGGCGGCCAAGGTTTTGTAGGACATGTAAATCCTATGAGAAGTATGTACAGGTGTCGAAAGTCCCTTTATATCTACGCCAGCGTACGA